CTTTCGCAGCTCTTGGTGTTACAGGAGGAGCTCACAGATTATGGGCTCATCGATCTTATAAAGCAAAATGGCCAATGAGAGTTATTCTAATGATTTTTCAGACCACGGCTTTTCAAGTACGTCTTCTAAAATTGCCATTATGCGAACTTATACATAAAAAAAACAATAATTATCTTATAAATTTATAATTATTCTTTTATGACACTACTTATAGTATATATATTTATAATAATGGCCGCGGTACATATTAAAAAGATGTATTTTATTCTTAAAATATTAACAAGGAGATTTATTATTTATAAAAAGTATTTTATAAAAAAACTTTTGGAAAGGGTTATTATAATTATTATATTTAATTTGCATTTTGCAGAACCACATTTATGAATGGGTAAGGGATCATCGAGTTCATCACAAATTTACAGATACAGACGCGGATCCACACAATGCGCAGAGAGGCTTCTTCTTCTCGCATATGGGATGGTTGTTGGTTCGCAAGCATCCGGATGTCATCAATAAGGGTGCCACGATTGACATGAGCGATCTTGAGAAGGATTTCGTTGTGATTTGGCAACGCAGGTACGATAATTTCTCATTGACAAAGATACCATTTTTCAAGATCAATCGGTGAGATTTTACGAGTGAATGTCTATTATTAAAATCTGTGTGTCATGTCTATTACAGGCTCTACATCGTCTTGATGCCAGTTTTCTGCTTCCTACTTCCCACTTGGATACCGTGCTATTTTTGGAATGAGAAACCCATGTACGCCTGGTACGCCACCCTCTTCAGATATACCTTATCATTGAATATAACTTGGTTGGTAAATTCGGCAGCCCATATCTGGGGCATGAAACCGTACGATAAGTAAGTATTATCGAAGATCCGTAATTGTCGTTTATCTTACATTGCAAAATCGTCATTACGCAAATCTGCGTGACGAATAGATTGAAACATGTTCATATCTTTATTGCAGCACCATCAGCTCCACCGACAGCTATAGCGTCGGCATCGGCGCCTTCGGCGAGGGTTGGCACAATTATCATCACGTATTCCCGTGGGACTACAAAGCTGCCGAGCTGGGTAACTATCGCACAAACTTCACCACCGCCTTCATCGACTTTTTTGCCTGGATCGGTTGGGCATACGATCTAAAAACTGTAGGACACAGTATGATAAAGAAACGCGCGGCACGAACGGGCGATGGCTCGAAATACGAGCAAATGGACGATCATGACGCGCACCATCATACGCATGAGGGTGCTATATGGGGTTGGGGTGACGCTGACATGGCACCAGAAGATATGCAAGAGGCCGAGATCATCAATAAGGGTGACTGAACCGTGAGATCTTGTTACCCGATATCCTTGTATGTGGCATTACATTTGGTCAGGTTACATAATATGGATATTCAATAAAGATTCGCGATTTATTTATGATGATATTTATAATGCACATGATATGGTAATGCACATTCGTGAGTTGAGCATCATCACGTCTGAAGGTTGGGTAATATCTCATAAATATCCCATAAATTATGCGTCATGTTAGATATTATAATGTACGTTTATAAATATTTAGCACTTATTATGTCGATCGCAATGAAGGTATAAATAATGAGGTATAATGGGATAAAATTATTATTCTTTTTCTAATAGGTCTTAGAGGCGATTATGATTGTGATTTCTTTTTATTTTTTGAATGCATCCTTGATATTTTTTGATAATATTTACAATAATTTTTCTGATCTCTTCTATTCTAACTTTATTCATCGCTAGATACTTAATTTATTTTTTTCAAATATCACATTTCTCGTTTCTTATATGTAATCTATTGTGTTATTTGCAACGCAATTTCTATGCAAGAAATGATTTATAAATTTCATGCCAATACCGTTAAAAATCGTTATGTAAAAAGGATGCCATTGTATTTTACATATAAATTATTGATAAATTATCCGCGTCACATTGAGGATTGTACACATTTTATGATAAACAGTCTCGTTGTGCATCGTGTAGAGATACAATCGCCCAAAGAAATGATCAATCGTTTTAACGATGTCAATTAATATTTATTGTATTGTAATATTCGTATATTGTTATATCATTCCTCTCTTCAAATCGGCCTCTTAAAATACGTCGCGAATTCGATCGCTTTGCAACGAAGGAGCAAAATTTTTAAATGCGACTAACAACGGCTTCTTAGATCGATTCTAATTCTAGATTCGATCAGAAGTGTCTTCAATCAGGAATTTAGGATTGCAAAAGGTCTCCTATCGTCTCGTATTTGAGATAACATTTCTTTGGGAAACGCTTGGTCTCATTGAAGCTAATTCTCGCAGATTCGGAATAACGGAGCGGCGATCTGAATTAGAGTATGCTGATGGCGTGTCGTACAATCAATTACGTACCTACGAATCAAATTCATTCGTGGCCTTCTAAATGACTGTTTTTAGATTTATCGCGTTTATATCGAAACTGTTTCCTGATATCTCGAGGTCAATTCTGTATAATTATGAGGCAACAGAGCGCGAATCGTTATCGACGTCTAACATAATTGTTATGATAACAAGTAGCCATGTTACGTAGAGCTTAGATATCGCTCGATTATTAGTAAGAAATCAACATTTCGTCGCGCTTTATAAAAAGCAAAAATTATTGAGACGATAAAATATACTTGTATGTGAGAGTTTACAATTATAACGATTATATCAGGACCACATGTAGGACGACAGAAACTGTAGCTCGTATATTGTAAGTAAATAGCAGGCGTTTATACTATATTTCAATCTTTTTGATTTATTTCGACACGATGATAAAAGTTTCATGTGACATCGTATCACTTTCATCATTGAGTATCATGATGTCAGTCGCCAATCTCTTTTTTATATATATTTTTTTTTGTTTAATTGCAAAATACATGACGACACGAATAAAAATCGAGTTTAATAAAAAGTAATAAATTTACCACTTGGAAAATTTACAAATTATGAACTTACTCTTTTTTCACTTATTCTTTTATAATCGCGACATAAAATTTACAATCGAATATGCATTATACATTACCATATAATTATTAATGTTATGATACATTAACGTTCTATACTTATAAACGTAAAATGCTCATAAAATTATATAAAGCTATGTGTTGCACATAAATAAAAATGACATTAGAAACCGGCGATTGGCCGTCGATTCTGGCATAATTATCATAAGTGATGCGATAGCTATCGAATTTGTTACCTACATAATTAACAAGCCATTCGATGTCGCGCGATGCGGATCCGAATTCCGTCTGTCTTCCGTAAATAATCGTTGTGTATTGGATTCGAGTCCGATCGCGCAGCCTCGAATAGCGATTTCGCAAAGCGATCGTTACGAAAGTACATTGTTCGAACACTAATTGCGCGATGCGCGATGGCTAATTAAAATTTATTATAGCAACTCGTAACGAACGTTGAATGATTGAACGGCACTTTCGTGTCGAAGAGACGACTGTTACGTAATAAACGCAAACAGAATCTGAATCTTCTTAATTATCATGTGAACTTTTTTGTGAATCTTTGTACTTACGATAGCGTTTCACAATAACGTAAGTATAATGTATGCAGAGTGTCTAATAGATTTTTGATGAATAAAGCTCTACCAAATGCATTTACTAACAATTTTCGTACAAATAAATAAATCAATTAAATTAATTTTATAAAAATAAGTCGAATTAATAAAACACACGAAAGAAAATTTATAATCAGTTTGAACTTCAAATAATGTACTATGTAGACAGTAAATCTTAAATATAAAGTAAATTTGCTCCCCAAACTTTTAATTATTTTAAAAATGCGTTTCACTTTATATTTTCTCTTTCTGATAAAATTAAAAGAACATTGCAAACAAAAGTCGATTTGATTTTGTGATTACAGTACTTTACTTCTGTCACGTTAATTTTTCTACATGATTATTTTTGTTCTTTATATTATTTTTCAGAAGACTTTTTCAAATTTATAGTACTTGTTTAATTATATTAATTTATACTCTCGTGTGTATACTTGCAATATTTGTTCGTATGAATCTTACATTTTGATATACTGTGATTGTTTCAAGTCTTGCTTCAAGATGACTATTCGATAAAATTCTAGATAATAATTGATTCAAGCGTTAGATCCCTGCAAGAGGCCACGATTTTGCTACCTTAAGTATAAATCAAGAGAGTAATTTAACCAGTACTTTCGTTGCAAATTGCTTTTTCCTTTCAATCACACTGAAGCTGTAATTATAAGTTTAAGAACGTAGTTTATAGGGAAAATAATGTGGTTAATAATAATTATGTCGACGAAATAAATGAAATATTTATCATAATTGCGTTCTCGTTTTAGACGAATGTAGACGATTTTGCTAAGACAATATCGGTATAAATAAATATATATGTATATATAAATATATATATATATATATATATATATATATGTATATATTACTATTGTATTCATATAAATACATTATTGTTATATAGATCCCAAATTGTATGCTGTTCTCTTGTTATGCCTGCCAATTATTCTATTGTTTGTTATATATATATATATATATATATATATATATATATATAGTTCTTACATAACAATCCTAGCTTAACAGAATTCGTGAATGTTTTATTACGATTTAACTACCTATTACTCGAGAGTCAATGTTTCATTCCGCGTTTTATTTTACAATGGCAAACACGAGGTAACAAAGTGACGAAATTGCAATTTATCCGTGTCGTAGATCGTACAGATTGTGTATCCTCCGTAAAGTGCTAATAATTGTTTTGCTTAATCACGCAGATTCTCAGAACAGGTCGCACCTTTGCGACATCCGCATGAATTTACGTAACTCTGTATTATGAAATTTCTGTTGTTCCTAGATCTTTGCCCTGTCCGTGGTGCACATCTTGGATCGTTTGATCGTATATTACAGTGTTTGTAATTCGCGATAAAGGCATATTCTCGCATGTGCATAAGCTTTGACAAGACATTCGACAGTTTGCCGAAAGTCGGTCATGACTGTTTTACGATCTTTCGATAGGTTTTGCAGGATGTAACGAGTTATTCATATTTTTCGCAATTAATATAAAGATTAATAGATTAACATAAGATTAACATAGATATTGGATCAAATCTTATAAGCGACGAAAAAGTAAATTATATTAATCGAACAATCTTATATTAATATGATATCTGTACGCTTAAAACTCAGAAACTCGAAAAAAAGATAAACCAGAATAATTTTTTTAAATTATCTTAAATTCTATACGAAATTTAACAATTTTCATATTGCCTAATGCAAAAAAATTCTACAAAATGTCGAATTTTATTTTTTCTTCCCGAGTTTTTGAAATATAATTTTCATTATTTAATTTTATGTCAAACGTAAAATAATGAAAGGTAATATTATGTCTTTTAAATATTTAATGTGTTCTTCAATAGTTGGATGCAAACTCAACGTTTGAATAAACTTTATTACAAAAATTAATTTTCTGTTTCTTAAACAATTTTTTTCAAAATTTAACGAGTTTAAAGACATTGCATGTATTTTTAAAATTTAGATAAATTAAAAAATTTAATAAATTTAATAAAATTTTAAAAATTATGATAATTGCAATTAAAAGTTATATACGTTATAAACGTATGTGTTATTATATATTATATATATTATATAATATTATGTATGATTATATATTATATAATATTATGTATAATCACAAGAGAATCCAAAAAATTATTTCATTTTGATATAAAATTATCTAGATTTCTAATCTTACAATAGAAAAATATGAATAAATCAAGCGCTCGTTATTGTAAACTTTCAAAAAAATGGTGTAGGTGCGCTTCATTTATTAGCCTCGCCTCTCAGCCGGAGATCATTAATTACATCAATTTCGGTGAATGTTAATGAACGCATGCGTACGCAATGGCTAATTCAAGTCAATTTTGCTCGTGAATTTGAATGCAAGTCGGCCATGCCATATTGTGTCATATCCAATTAAGAACGATTTTCGTTAAAGAATCGACTCTTGCATACCGACTCCAGGCAGTTAGGCGCGCAGTTTCTCTTGGATGATCGAGCAAAGAAGAGATCGAGTAGTTGAATAATGAATTTTTAGCAGAGACAAGTTATCTACGAGTTTTTTTTTTATTTTAAGAATTTTTTTCACACGTTGTGTTTAACTTTCTTGTGGTTCAGTTTATTATAGTGAAAGAACTCATGGGAAGCAAATATTACACAGAGGCAACGTACGTACACGCAAAGATAATTACATTTTTTTAATTTTTAAAGAGAAACTATTTTAAGAAAGTTTTTAAATAACTTTTTGTTTTATTCACAAATAAGAATATAACATAAAATTATTTGTAGGAGAGAATTGTCAAAAATATAATAGATCTCTAACAGATCGCATCATACTATTGCAAAGAATAAATAAAAATTTTTGGGAAAATATAATTAATCAACAAGATGCTGTAAGAAAAATTGTTTTAATTAAAGTTTTAATTTTTAGTAAAAACGTATTAAAAAGTTTTAAACATAAAGAACATCTTTGTGATTTTTTAAAATTATAATTATACAATACAGAAATATAATTGTACAATTTTTGAATGAATTATTATTGAAAAGAAGATAAAAATTAAGATTCATATAATTTATTGTGCACGATTTATACAATACAGTAATATTGTACATTCTCTATTATTTTTCTAAAAATATGTTTTTTAATTTCTCACAATATTATCGTTAATCTAATTAAAAATTGAACAGTACCAGTGCATTAAATTACCTTGACCGCTCTGAAAGTGACGTTAAACCGAGGATAAAAAAAAGAGAAAGTTGATAGAGGTTTTGAAATCGATCGAATCGTTGTCACTCGGACAGATCGCGAAATTTTGCGCGGCATAGACGTGTTCCAGACGCGAATACAGTGATAAAAACATCTACAATCATGGAATTGCAGTCAGTTTTACATAATGCACGTCAATGAAATAATGATGAAAGTCACGAGTTTCATAAGTGAGTGAAGGAAGCTTATATTTAATAGTTTTATTATTAGTTTGTTCTGTTAATATTTCTAACATTAGAGTATCATATATTTTGCTCTTGATATCAATTAGTACTTTGAGAACGTTCAGGTAAAAATTCCATTTATATTTATTAATGTGTAAATTAAGAACAAGGTTGTTTGTGACGTTTGTGAATGTATAAAAAATTAAGGAATCACTAAAAGACATCGTGCAAATATTACGTGCATAAAAAAATTTAAATTTCCTAATAATTCAGTATTTATTTAATAATTCCTAATAATTCAGTATTATTATGAAAAAATAACATGACGAAAAATGTGACGTTTTAATAATAGGAATTTGCACGCGCAAAGTAACACGTGCATATTACGAGGTATGTCACACATTAATTTATCTTGTATATCGAGTGAACTATAGCGAACTATAGCGTAAGGTACAATGTGTCTTTTAAGTGCACTAATTCATTTCTAAGAAATCACCGAGAGAGTTTGTACGTCACTTATTGCCTACACTAAATGCGCACAGACGTTGTTTGCGTCACGAAAAATTGGAGCACAAAAACCTATTTTGATTAGTTATATTGTACATGTTTAACAATTACGTACATTGAAAAAATGCTTATCAACTAATTGCTTTTTTTACGCATAGAGAGAACTATGTACGAGTTTGTTTAACATTTATAAAAATCAAAAATAAATAACGAAGTGTACAGAGTGATCTCCAACTTGCCATAAACATTCGTTAAATTTTAAATGCTTGAGAGAATTACTAATTTAAAATAAAAAATTCTACAAAAAATTCTTTCAATTTTTTTATTCTATTTCATTTAACATTTAGGAACTCTCTATTTATTTGCTACATTTTCGTTTTTGCAGAAATCAAACAAATTTCGTTGATGTAGCCATTAATATTTTTTTTTACTAGGCGGTCGACGAGCCACTATCTGTTTTATATTTCTGGTGAGTTACTTGAAAACTGACAGAGGGTAGTAAATTAAACTACGCGGTATCCCTCGTTATGTACACCCCCATGGGTCACAATAAAGTTGAAACTCGACCGAAAGGCGGCGCGCCTCGACTTGACGTCGTCGACACGGCATCGGCAACAATATCGGAGTCATTTCATCGTAACAACGCCATTTCCGCAGTCCTCTGCTTTACCTGCGGTGCTTGTTTTATTCTGAGTTTAATTTGCACCTGTCTGGCAACGTTGGTTGTTCTGTTGAATCAGACTGTCGAAGCGGCGAACTATCGACACGGTGAGAAAACGGAAGATCTAACGAAACTTATTAGTTGTAAAGTTGTAAAGTTATAAAGTGTGGAGTAATTTCTGAAATACTCAAAAACTGCTCTTCTGTTAATCTGTGCTTACTAATTGCGGCACAAGTTTATAAGATTTAAAAAAAGATTGTGTTCTCCGCAAGAAGAATAGTGAAATCGCTCGCGAAATACAAATCGGAATATATTCGCTGGTTATAGTGCGTTCAATGACAGTTTATTCAGTGTGTTTTGTGTTTGCTTAATACAGCCAGCAACATGACAAGCATATTGCGTATCTCAAAACGAATCTCGTGATTGGTTGGCGGTGGATTTAAAACCATTTCTGTAGGTTTCAATTCTTGTTCCCTTTGATTTGGAACAGCGGAAGACCTTCTTGAAAATTTGTCAGAATTTTTCTTTACAAAATAAAAAAGTCAATAACTGTTAAAAATAAGTAATAATACAAATTTTGTCTGAACAATTAAATATATAGTTAAAAAATATGATAGATTATATCTATCGCAAAGAATATTTATTTTATTTTTAATTCTTGTTTGATATTGCGAGAAAGAATTTTTTTCGAAAAACTGATTCCTAATGAAATATTAAATCACGATTAAATATCATTAAAAGTCACCAGTCTTTAGATTGCGAATTGTTGCTAGGTAGAGTTCTTCTCTCTTGAAGAAAAGAAATTAATCTAATCAGATATATTATTATATATCAGATATATTATTTTAAGAAATTTCTTTTGGATATCAAGTGACCTTGGTTTTTGGTATTTTATCGATTAGACATGTTTGTCGACGAATGTCTTTAAATCGACATCTAAAGAGAGCGACCAATCAGAACCATACTCCATTTTCGTAATCAGCTGATCGGAAAGAAACTCGTGTCCGAGAAATGTTTTCTATTTTACAGCGGTATGTTGCTTACATCGCGATTTAAATTAAACAAATATATATTTATTACTTCATCTACTGTAAATATTATTTTATAAATGTTAATCTATAATTAATTTTCAAAAATATTGCATAAGAGATTGTTGCTTCGATTTGGTTATAGCTCTCTTTAAACATGTAGGCTCAATCGGCCGATAGTCAAATTGTGTTTTCAACCTACGTCACAGAAAACTTGCCGACTTTTCTTTCCCTTGGTCAGCATATATGTCCCTACGTTAACATGTAAGATCAACTGAACATGATAAGTCACATAAAAATTGCGACTTCTAAATTGTGCTATTTTTAATATTTATCTATGATACAAACAGACTATATGTGGATGATTAGAAGTAATTATATATTATAGTTATATTATTTCTATTTGTAGATTCAAACAGACCGGAGGCATATACAACAATGTCTAATCTCGACGAAGCCTTTAGATTGCCGAGAGAAGTCGAACCTGTTTATTATGATCTCTTCTTGCATCCAAATCTTACAGAAGGCACATTTTCTGGAAAAGTAACCATTCTTCTCGATGTCCGCGATGACAGAAGAACCATAGCTCTTCATCAAAAGGATCTCAACATCACATCTGCAAAATTAGTAACGTATGGCTTAAAGGAAGACTATGAAATTAATATCTCTTCCATCTCTAAACCTTCGAAGTATGAGATCTTCGTGATATCAACTATAGAGGAAATTAGATCCGGATTATTTAACCTAAGTCTAGAATTTAATGGAAGTCTCAGTAACAAGATAGTCGGCTTTTATACTAGCAAGTATTTTACTGATACAACGAAAGATTTCAAAAGAAGAAGCAATAAATCCAGGTAATATGAACATATCATTTTACTAATAAATAACAAACACGTATTCAATAAGTTCTCTGTTTCCAACATGGTTATGATTATAATGTATGTTTTAATCAACAGAGCCATTGCAACTTCCAAATTCGAGCCAACTTATGCTAGACAAGCTTTTCCATGTTTCGATGAACCCAGTTTTAAAGCGGAATTTTTAATAAAATTGGTTCATCCTATGAATGACTGCTACATGGCCTTATCGAATATGAACATAAAAGTAAGTACGCTAATAATTTTTGATTAATTGTAATTTTTCTCGAAAATGAATTAATCAGATTATTGAAAAATTACTTCTTACTTTAGAGTACAGAAGCGAATACACCGGAACATGGTCTGGCAACAGCGACCTTTGCAAAAACTGTACCCATGTCAACATACCTAGCTTGCTTTATTGTTAGTGACTTTATTGGCACAAGTCAGATGGCAAAGGGTTTGAATAACCGAGAATTTCCGGTTACTGTTTATAGCACGAGACTACAAAAAAAAGAAACAGAAATTTTGCATTGGAAGTCGGCGTGAAAGCTATTGAATATTATATAAACTTATTCAAGATAGATTATCCGTTACCAAAACTCGGTAAATATAAAACAAAAGTTTATAAAAAAAATATTAATTAAAATTAAATTAAATTTGCTATTTCTATTTTAATCTCTTAGTAGGCTAATTTGATTTCTTATATTATTATATAAAACTACTTATTATGCAGATATGGCTGCGATCCCTGATTTTGTCTCCGGCGCTATGGAAAATTGGGGTTTGATAACCTATAGAGAAACAAGAATTCTTTATGATGATCGTAATAGTTCTATCCACGACAAGCGTGATGTCGTTAACGTAATTTGTCACGAATTGGCACACATGTGGTTTGGAAATCTTGGTAAATATTTAATATTAATTAATCATGAATTAATAAAAATATGGGACAATATTTTTTTTTCAGTTACTCTGGCCTGGTGGAATGATTTATGGCTCAACGAAGGTTTTGCTACATTCATGTCATACAAAAGTGCGAGCGATATTTTTCCAAATCAGGAATATGTTAGTTTTTTTTTTACAATACAACCTAATTCAATATTAATATAAATATTTAAAATATGTGAGAAGATATTTCTATATCTATAATATATACATGTTGGAAATGTGCCAGTGATAGCACGATTGAACATTGATCATTAACAAGATATGACAGATCTACTCAATGAGTGTTGTCACATTGTCGTAAGCTTCAAGTAATTTGAGTGTGAACTCCCGATTCCGCGTGCATCTTCGTGGCTCGTGGTCTCACAGATTTATATACCTGCACAGATTCAAATCTTTACGTCGCTCCTCGAAGTATATAAATATTGTTTTTAGATGGAGCAATTTGCTGTTGATGTAATGCAGAAAGTGTTTGTTACCGATTCAAAATTGAGCTCTCATCCTATAATTTATGATGTCAAAAATCCAGATGAAATAACATCATTCTTTGATGAAATTTCCTATCAAAAGGTATATAATATATTTTTTAATAAATATTTCTTTGCACTGATTTTTTATCTTATTATTTATTTTCTTGAATTGCCGCTTACTTTAGGGAGCATCTGTAATTCGCATGATGGAAGATTTTCTCGGAAATAATATTTTTTACGGTGCTATCTCTGCCTATTTGAAGAAGCATGCCTATCTAAATACGGAGACGAAAGATCTCTTCGATATTCTGCAAGACGCAGTCGGAATCAAACTAAATATAACAGATATAATGGATACTTGGACGCGGCAGGAAGGATATCCCGTTATCAACGTGAAGAAAAACGTCAACAAAACGTATACATTAACTCAGAAACGATTTTTGGCCGATCAAGATGCCAAATCTGATCCTGCAAAATCTGATTACGGGTGAGTTATTTTGTCTCGAAGTAATAATTGACAAACTTCATAATATATATCAAATTCATAATATATATCTTACAGATATCGGTGGACTATACCTATTACTTATATCACAGATAAAAATGCTAAACCTACTCTTATATGGTTCGACAAAGATAAAAGTAAAGGTTCGAATTTTGTGCTTTCGTAGCAGTTTACACATACAATCTGTACAGAATTATATTTTATATCATTTTCTCTGTTTTATTGTAAAATTTTATGTTTTATAGTCGTGCTCGAAGTCGACGAAAATGTTAAATGGATTAAATTTAATACGGGTCAGGTTGGCTATTATCGAGTTAATTATGAGGAAGATTGGATATCATTTCAGCATCTGCTTCGAGATCATCATACGGTAAAACCAACTTTTTCATTCAATATAAATTTTATTATATTAGATATTACAAACGCGCGTTGCGCGCGCTATTTATCTTTTTAAACAAAAGCATCAACAAAAATTAATCTAATACTATTATACTATTAACCATTGTCATAACAGTCAAAACGATTAGAAATGGAAAATTATAATTTAAAAAATTATTATATAAAATATTATTATATAAAATTTTATAGATTAATATATTATTTCATTGTCTTCGGTTTTTATCATTCTTTTAAGAATTCTTTTAGTATTTTCTCTTTTTGATTGCAGAGATTCTCAATATCGGATCGAGCAAATCTTTTGGATGACGTATTTAGTTTAGCTGAGGCCGGTGAGATCGAATACGACATTGCATTGAATTTTTCCAACTATCTCAAAGCGGAATATAACTATATTCCATGGGCAGTTGCAAAATCGAAATTGATGACAATAGATACCTTGTTATCTTCCGCGAATGAACCAATGCTTAAAAAAGATTTTCAAGTAATATATCAACCAAAAGATCGCGTATTTTCCAATACCGTTACAAAAAATTATTTCTATATAATGCATTTTTCTAGTTCTTTGTGAGAACATTAGTGCAGAACATCTATGGATATGTAACTTGGGTCGTCGATGATAGCATTAGAGAAGATCCGCCATTCACGGAAATTGACAATAGGGTGCGAGGACCGATACTCGAATTGACATGTTCAATTGAATTTGACATCTGTATGAAGAAAGTTAAAAGTATCTTTGACTCTTGGCTGTTTCTCGAAAAACCTGTGCATCCTGATATTCGCGAACTAGTTTATTATTATGGTTGGTCTACCTAACATAATCATCAATTCTCTGTATCATTCAATTATCGAAAGATGTTAATAGAATGCAAAATCTTTTGTTAGGTATACGCCAATCTGAGGATGAGATGGATTGGTATGCCATGTTCGAAAAATTTTTAGATGAATATGATCCTGTCGAAAAAAATAAACTGATGTACGGATTAGCGGGCGTAAAATCTACTCAGACTTTAAAAGAGTTAGTATTAAATTTTCTACAACTCTTTTTAAATACATTCAATACTAAAAATCAAATAATATGCATTTCTCTTTTTCTTTTTTAGGTACATTAACAGAGCAAGCAAAGAAGAATATGTTCGCACTCAAGATTTCTTGAGATGCTTGATTATGATTTCCAAAAATCCCGATGGTACATCGCTGGTGTGGGATTGGGTGCGCGACAATTGGGAATTTCTAGTAAACAGATACACATTGAACGATCGGTACCTCGGTCAACTCATACCAGCTATTACAAGTTCTTTTGCCACAGAAACCAAACTAGACGAAATGAAAGCTTTCTTCGAAAAATATCCTAAAGCCGGTGCCGGTGCAGACAATCGAGCCAAAGCTCTCGAGACTGTTTCGAGAAATATCAAATGGCTACGTAAAAACATTAAAAAAATCCAGCAGTTTTTGTATCATACTAAATGGCAATGGGATGCCATTGAATGAAAGTTACAAACAAAAACATTAAAAAATACCTCGATATGTGAAATAAGTGAAGAAAGAAAGACTTAATATTGATTTTTAATAATTATACGTAAAAAGAAATTCTTTTTCTTTTTAATTTATTTTGTGTCACAATTACTGGACACCATTGGCAATCTAAAGACAATTCATTATTATTATTTAATTATACTTTTATATATTGTAATATAAACAATTATAAAAGAAAATTATTTATTTTTGTCGAACAGAATGAACAAGAAGCAGTATTCAATATGCTGCTTACATCGTGATCAAATCTTTTAATCTATCATATAATTAATTATTATAATTGTCAAATACTAAAATACGAAGGAATCGATATATATTTTACGCGAAGCGTATGTTTCTTGTGCAATGCATTTACACACATAAAATCTTTATACTGAAATATATATATATAACTTTATAGAATTATAATTTTGTGATTAAACCTAACTTGTATGTATTGCTAAATTTTCCTTTAATGATTGGATTCTTCCATAAGACATCGCATATGAAAATTCGTCAAGGTCGGATTTATTATGAGATCGATTGTATTACACTCTATTTTTCTTATAATTGGTTCAATACACATTTGATTGGCCAGTTATTGCCATAAACAAGGTAATCAAAAAAGATGATAAGAAGATTTTAATTTATCGTGATACAGCGCGCTCAAACATATGCTTTTTGCAACAACCTATTCTCCTTTACATGAGATACTACATGAGATACTACAGAAAAATTGTTATAAAAATAAGCGAAATGTCTGTTTTCCAATCGTACATTTATCATAAAAAATTTATTTGTTGAATGTGGTCAGATTGCGCGCGGGATTATAATTTTTTTATTCACGAGGGGATTAAATAATCCGACTCGTCATTTCAGTGAATGATAAAAGTTGAAAATATCGCATGCAGAAACTGTCGACGACATTTCGCGATATGACGGATATCGGTCGGCGATGAAAACATTTTTCGAGATACGAGAGAGTTTATCGAAAAATACTGCGTATGAATCGTTTGCCGTTCTATTTGTGCTATCGAGAATTATTTGCATTATCCGAATAGAATTCGGCGGAGAAAAACCGACACATAAATTCGAAACATAAAACAGATTTCAAACTGTCGCATACGTCGGTTTAACGTTACATAAACAGAAAGAGATTCTTTTGCAGTGATATAATATTTCGACAAACGTTGGTTAAACAACTAATCAAACATGCAGCAGCTCTATGGTATTAATGCAAATAATACGAACGCTTTCAATTGAAGTAATATCGCGGAAAAATATTTTTCATAACAGGCACACGTGTGACACATTTTCTATAATGATTATGGCAATTTTATTGCAAAATTTTTCTCTATGTTATATGTACTTCTATAATAGTGTTCTCGATTTTATATATTTATTAAAAAAGCATGTTTGAAGAAGCACATATTATTCGTATTATTTACGAATTATTCCAAATACGAAATATATAATACGAAATATTCCTTTCGAATTATTCCAAATGGTACATTACTTTTAATCTAATAATAATATTTAATCTAATTAATACCCAACTATAAGGTTTAAATTATTTAATTTATCACTTTACTACGATTTGACTGTAGACAATTTGTACCTCGTACAGTTTTCCGTGCCGTGAGATGATGGAAGAACATGATAGCTCTTCTACGAGCACCAATTAATTCACAGAACGATGGCCCATAAGGACGAAAGCTAAAATTGCGAACAGAGAGTAGAAATGTCTAAATGACCAGTTAAGAAACATATTTAATTAGTTAATTCCATTTCCTTAATCAATGAGAACATTAGTTTGTGAGATTACTTTTGAGAGATAAATTCCTTTCTTTTGGAAAAGTGTATTTATATTACTCTCAGTAAACTCTCAGAGAAATTAAAAAAAGTTTCTACGATTCTCTGTGAATATTCATTTATAGATGCTCTAACCTCGATTTATCCAGACGAAAAAACTTAGACGAACAAAAATAAATTCGATCGAAAGTTCTAATTACATATCCTCGGCAGATTTCACGGTTAAGTGGAACATACTCGTGGCAAGCACACTTTTTTCAATTTCCGGAACAAAAAGCATAATTGACTAAGTTTTTTTTTCCATCTCGACATCATGTCTCGATAAATCGCTAGCTTTCCTCATCTAATCTCTAATTCTGAATCAAGCTCTCTTTTCAGTTCCTCTTGCCAGCTCGCCCACGTATTCCTCGTATACTCTTTCATTTGCAGCTCACGTATTATGATCGATGGAACCGACCGATGTCAAAAGTTCACATGAAAGAAAATTTCCGTTATTTCGTTCCTTCGTTTCTTCCACTTATATGCCTCTCTCACTTGCGACGCGATTTCTCGATTAAGACATAAACATACATTTTGGAAATGCCAAGATGTTCCGCATAAAACAAAATGAAATGAAATAAATGTCCTCTTTCGTGATAAAATTCCTTCTTCGTACTATTACTAGTAATAAAATATTTTATTGGCGTCCTTTCTTTGTGCTATTGTTATGAAATTTACTGAGTATGAAGTATTTTAAGCATGTATAATGATAACAATTTAAATTTTTATTGAACAGAAAAATGTAACTATAAAAAATACGAAACTATCTTATAAAAATTGAAAAGATTCACAATGACATTTCTTGCATAAAAGAAATGTTACTTATTTCAAATTTTTAAATTTTTCATTTTTATTAACGAAGTTTTTAACGCGAGAAATTAAGAAACACGAATATTTCATTTGAATTTCAATAACTATAACTTCGTTGTACATTTTTTTCCGCTGGTATATTTTATCGAACGATAATATAAGTCGCCGTCATTTCCGCTCAATAAAAATGTGTCGATTTGTCATCGTGCTCGATTGGCGCCTGTCTTGTATAAAAAAAGGATCTGCCTTTTATTAGAACAAGTGTCACAAATTCTCTAAATGATCACATACAATTGTCTCTCTTTTGCTGTGGACAGACCATTAGTGACAGAATCTCTGGCAAATTTAGAATCGATATTTTCTTCTCGACAATGTTAGGAGTAATTTTTAAATTGTAAACAGCTAATAAAAATGAAGAACGAGCGAAGCTGCAGAGATATAAATAAATAATGGAATTTTCTTATAATATCAAACTAGTTTTACTTTAATATATTAATCTGAGCGTTAATTAATGAAGATATTTAATTCTGAAGATTGAAGAATCGCGAGGATATCATGTAATGTCTACATCGGTTTGATAGATGTTCTGCATATCTTCGTCCAACGACTTGTTTATTGAAACAGATATGCATATCAACTTGATAGTTTCCTATGGATGTACATCTGTCGTTGAATTAGCATTGCGTAATAAATCATTTGGATGATTAAACGTTTATTGATGAACTTTTACGTGAAGACCATTCGACTCAATCTTTTTTACGTTGTAAAAACTGATGCATTTATAATATCCAGACTATTAGCCGAATCATTTTAAAAGCAATACTAAAATAATAAAATAGATAATGTTTAAAATTTATCAATCAAATTATTTTCTTTTCAAAATTCTTAATAATTAAATATTTAAAAAATTTAAGATTTAAAGATTTAATCTTAATTATAAAACAATACAATAAAATATTATAATAATAAAATATATCTTTATTTTAAAAAAGTAAAAATTCATATTTTTGAATTATGGAATTTTTTCTAGAAAATAGATAACTGTTTATTTATTATAAATATTTATTTATAGATTTGCTTTTCTAGAATGCTTTTCTCAAATAATTGAAAAAAATATCGTGCAATTTTATACAAGTATATATAAAGATACCCAAAAAAAAATTCGTATTACACAAGTGCATTCTAAAATAACTTTAGCTTGATTAATCTATACATCTATAGATGATTGAACCATAACGGATTGAAAGCGATATGGCGATATTTATATAATTTGACAGTTACTGTGCACTTACCTCTCATCTTCTTTCATTGATGTCCAGCTGCGTGCCCTTCAAACGCGTTTGTGCGTCACTTGGTGGTCATATAATCGAGACTCCGCAGGACTGAAAAGATCATAGTAATTTGCGAGAAAAATGGCGAAGAGAAGAACATCGCTCGAGCAATTAATATCAACTGTACTATCTTCTCTGCGTTCCTCGGATGGAATTTTCGAACACTAGAGAGGGGGGGATTTCGTTAAGATCTGCCTCTCTCATATCTCATTTCGCTCGTAGGTTGAATGAAAACTATTGTCCCGATTAATATCATCCTGTTCAGTTTACAATCCTGCAATTTTCCTTATTTCGAATGAGAATCCTTTGCACTCTCGCTGACTCTCTTCGACTCTTCTAGCCTAGATTCGCCAATGAGTTTCCTGCTATGTGACAAACGTAAACGAGAGCAAGGAGTACGTTAATTCAATAATTTTCAATCGGATCACGATTGTTTGATCTCATTCCGTGCATTTCGGCCGACTTACTCTTGGTTCGTTTCTTACAAGGAGTCGACGGCATCGTTACCAACATTCTTCCAGATCATCACGCCAATTGTCCACGAGCAATCGCTGACCTGTGCATTACTTTTTTATAGGATCGACGGACAGTTAAGTTAATGAAGAAAACGTACGATGAACATGCTGATGCAGTCCAACGACCGGATAATCTCACGGCTCGACCCACCAGTGGCCCTCGAAACTCGATTCGGTGACCATAAAAAGAGGTAAGAATCGTCGCTTATCTTCAGGGAATCCCCCCGGGAATGATCCTTTTCGCAATGCTGATGGTTATTGTCTTGAAACGTTTGACGATTCCTGGTTTTTATCCGTGTACGGGAACAGGACGGAATTACATGACCAATACAACGAGATAAGTTTTTATTATTTTGGAATATTGCTCAAAAAGCCTTGGCCATAGATCTTTTTTTCTTTCATATCTTATATCGCGAAAAAATAATAAAAATTCGCGTTAAAAACAAGTTGAAAACCTTTTCTTATTAAAATTCAATCTTGGATAAAACGCAAAAATTCACACTCGACGGAAGACAGACAATCAAGTAGGGCAAGGCTTCGTGAGAAATTTCTTTTTCCTTGTCGTTTCTCTGTCGAATAATTTAGAATTTCTTGCGTAAGAAGTACATAGTTTTTCTATAGTATAAAAAAATAATAATAATTTTTCCATATAAAGCTTTGCGCGGCTCTCGAGGGGTGCAATTTGCTCGGAGCTACGCAAAAAATACTTCACGATCGGTAGAACTTCGATCAAACTTCGCTAATAAGAAGATGAAAGAAACATTACACGTGCGCGTTGTTATATTGATGCAATTGCGGAAAAAGAACGGAGAAAATGGACTGACGCTGAATTGACAGGAGAAGCATTAGAACGACAATAATGAAATCGCGAAACAGACAATTCATTTCTATTTAAGAGCACTCAATAAGAAAAGCGTTGCGAATATCCATTCAAATTGCATTTTTCATTCGAGTGAAGAGAAGCATTACGTAATTTTACAATGTATAAAAAATTTCGTCGGTCAATCTGTATTTTTGCAGAATTAGTAAAAACGCATGATTGATGTGCGTCCATACGCGATAAGGTGTATTACATTACACCCGCATAATCCATTACCAGCTTTTTTCAATTCCGCCACTTTTTTTTATCTTCCTTTTATCTGCGCTTTTATCGTGCCGAGTTCATCGCGTTAAGTTAAATTTGGAATAACGAACGTGAAAGTAGACTAGATAGTCTAAGCAAAAGTAAAGCTATTCCGATTAATGCAACTAAGCCTAATAGGTTTTTTCGCAATTCTCGTACCTCGTTTATCGCGGCCCGTCGCTTAAATAAAAATGCCTTAATAAGCTTCAGCTAATAGACAATATCCTAGTTATAATGAAATAACGTTATCTTTAATTAAATTAATTAAAACAGTCAAGAGGATTTAGCTTATTATATTCGCAAATTTCATTATTCTGCAATTATATAAAATCCATGAACATCTTGTGAAGGTTATGCAAATTTCAAATGCTTTATAAAGATAACCAAATTACATTCACAAACTCCCCTAATATTATCGTAAACTCTGTCACAAGTGAACTTCAAACTTGAAAATACATACACATAGTAAATTCATAATAGGCATAGTCGCCCGCATCCAAGTATATAACTTTCTGCTAAATTGCGAGAAATAAATAATCAGACGTGCCTATTGTATTTTATTGTTAATTGTTAAAAGTGTACGAAAAGTAATTCAGAGATATGGAGAAAAAGAGAAAGAAAAAAAGAAAAATTTAAGATTAATGGTATTGAAATACTTAACGCAATAATGAAAATCTCGTGCAAGAGAGAAAAGCAAAATTGACACGCAAAGAAAAAAGTTTTGAAACCTCCTAAACTTTGAATTGCCAACGTACTATTTTCTCGAAATTGCCACTAAATAACTTCGCAAACTTCAACAAAACATTCATATACACGTTACATCCATCGTTCTCCAATTCTTTTTCCTTTCTCTGTTCCAAACATCCTACTTCCGCGGAGATAATAATTCCATTTGGCTTCTGTCAAGATTGACAAATACGCGAAAGATAAAGTCTGCTATCCTTCTTTTGGCTTGTTAAATGAGAAATAAAATCGAAGCGTTCGTTTCGACGAGCGCTTTGATATTTATTTTCTCATTGTTTAATCGTAACATTCACACAATATTAATTTATAATTTTCGATGCAGATGATTCGAGTCAAAAACAATGCAAATAAATTGTCAATTCATCTCTTGTTTAATTACGAATATTTAATTGATCTACATACATAAAATCTCACTTTCTGTTTTATATTTTAATTTCTTGATTGTTATTTATTTAAATCAAAATTTATTCAATTAAATATCTTTGTAGAAATCAATAAGTGCTAACTATTAACTAATCATAAATTCTCGAACTGCTAACTACTAATTGTAAATTAAACTCGATCGATCGCATATTGACCATTTAAACTTTAGTATAAAATTGCAATTTCATAACTGTCATGTGCAATTTTATACTTTCATATGACAATTATGAAATTAAATAGGCAATTTGATATATATATATATCGCTATACATATATATATATTCTTCTCTGCATCACAAAATGCTATTTCAAATGCGAAAATGGCGATTCTGACGTTCGTTTGAGATTATGTCGCGTCTACAATTTTAGTAGAAGTTTCTTTCGTAATTTTCTTATGCAATGAATAGCCGAAAACTACTATCGTTCGGTAGTGTCACGCTTCGTCATAGAACCATTTTAGAATCTTAGTTTTATGAGAGTTCCGAGATTATTCTGTAGTTCGTGTCTTCGACAGCAAGGTCATGTAACGAAAAATAAAAAGATGTGCTGATTCTTCAATGTTCAAAATGTACAATGCGATTTCTATTTAATTAGCAAATCAAATATTCTAAGAACTATTTTAAATTTTAATGCACAATGAGACATGGATAATATAAAGTTGATTTTTTTATATCTTTTATTATTATAATAACTAGAATAAGTATTAATCCAATTAATATGCATTACACAATTATGTAATGACATTAATGTCCTACACATTTTGCACAGCTTACATTATTAATTAATATCATTTATAAAACGTATAAATTATATATACATTTTACATTTAATTATTTAAATGTATTATTTAAATTTATTTTTTAATTTTTCGATTTCTTTAGAATGTTCACGAAAGCAAAAAAAAATTGCATGATTTATTTCAATCTGTTTATTAATAAATTCAAGACGCTTATATGTCCATGCAAAAAAGTGTAAATTTTATTCCCCTAGAAAGTTTTGTCGACGTTCTAAGCTAAATGAGTAATTTCTATTCCATGTATGTATGTGGGGTGAATTTCGTCCTTTCTTCTGTGAATAGATGATAGTGCGGTAGAGATAAAGAAGAAATCGAAGGAAGTTCAGGTGGATATCACCGAGGAAAAGTAATAGAAACAATAACAGAAAAGAAACGAGAAAAATAGAATAGTGCACGTAGGTCGTGAGAATGAGAATAAAATTTACATCGGTGGGATGTGTCACACGCACAAGTACAAATACGCACTTCGCATCTCTTTGATTTATGAATTTTCTCTCTTCGCGACCTCGATCAATAAACTTTCCTTTTTTTATACAATCTGTTTTATGTATTGAGTTATCTAGTTTCTTATTTCATTCTTGCAAAATAATTCAATCATTTAAATTACTTTTAAGAAAAAACGATTAATTAATTTTTTTCAGCTAAAATGTCCAATGCCTAGCTTTTATAAACTTTTGCAAATTTCTTTCGAATGTAAACTCTATTATAGTGAAATAATTTGAAGAGTTGTAATATTTTAACTTGATTACTTTTATATTTTAAGAAATATGATCATAAGAAATATTTGGTGTAGAGGTTTGGTGTTGAGGTTTTAAATTTGCAAATGTACAGCAAATAAAATCAAATATTTTATCTTACATCCCATTATCCCATTATCCCATAATTATTATTATTATATGTTTTACACACATTCGTAGAACATATTAAAAAGATCGAAATATACCTTTTCTCTTTTCAAATAATGGAAATTAACACTATCACTATATCGACGTATACATAAATTACATTCTAATGGAAGTTTTTTTAAATACAATTTATAGTAAGTCTTGCTAGACTTTTACATTCAAAAATGGCTTCTTTATTTTGTCTTTAGAACATTATGTAAATATTGTTACTCTCTTTTTCGCGATAATTTTTTTATGGGAGAAGATAAATTAGTGAAATATTTGAATTTCCAAGACATTGCTTTTGTGAATATTTTACACGTAAAGACGTGTAATGTCGAATGACTTTTAATTTCCTGAAGAGAATGGTTTTTAATCGACCCAGGAAATGCATGCTTTGTTGCGCCGAAGCAGAAGTCCGACGAAACGCGAAAGCTCGAACGAGAAAAAGGTCAGTGGTGTAAGGTGCTATAGAAAGACGTCTTTTAAAAGCCATCTGGCCGGATGCAGCAACGTAGAAGAATGGGAATTTTACCAAGGGAAAATCGCTAATGAAAAATTATGCCATCGAAGAAACGTCGGAATTGGCAATTAAGCTCTATTGCAGAGAGAAAGCGGAAGTTTTCGAGTATATGAGATGTTCGCGTGATTTTGATAACGAAGAGAGCTTAAGTTTATCCTCGCCGTAAATTTCCCTTTATTGCGTCACTTTAGATCCCGTGAACGCAGCAGGGTGTTTACGGACCAAAGTTTACGATTAAAACACCCACAAGATTTTTACGATTACATTGCCGCGACTTTCCCAACTTTTTTGTCAAAATTTTCTTTTTCCTAGACGCGAGTAATGAAATTTAGCATTAAATTAAAATTAATTCCGTCTGCGAAATTCGTAACTTATTTAGATTTTTTAAAGAAGCATTTACATAACTTTCAAATACCATGCTGAAGTTTATCTCTCGTCTCTTTCTCTATCTTCCACTCTCGTTTTTTAAAATATTAAATGTAAAACAGTTGCTTTTACAGAATTAAAAAACTGTTTCAATTTTTTTATGTAAATATAAGATATATATAACTTTTAATAATAATATAAAATTGACGTATAAAAATAACCATTACATCTCCGTATTTACGATAATTATTAGATAAACTATTTTTACTCCCGTAGATCAAATTTCATTGTGATACGATACTTGAATGTATAGATAATAAATGGTTGAGAGCTTCGCGCTGGCGCAAAACTCCCACCATGGATGTCTTCAGCACGCGCTTGGTTCAAGGGGCGATTCGACATTTCCACGCCAAATCGAGTTCGGCTTTTTCCCCGGCACGAAGTGACGCTCCGATCTCGCGTAATTGTGAAAGGGAATAAGACATAAGGACATTGTGCACGATTATGTGATGCAGTACACAGGATCTTTTGATCTTTTTTCGAGTTTTTACAGACGAACGAGCGCATCGGTAATTATATTAGAACTGTAAATAAGTGAAGCGAAGTAATTTGTTATAGACAAGATGATGCGAAATAGAATATTCATTTGCCAGAATAAAATATCGTGATAAATACGCGATAAATATCTAGTAGCGAAATTCGTAACGATTAGAGCAACTTTGGATCCGGTAAATAAAAATAAAAATAAAAATAAAAAATTATATACGTGGAATCTCTTCTATCAGACGCGGTCAAGGCAGCATTGTTCTATTAGAGAAATATTTCACACTACATATTTTAAAACAATGATTTATGTCACGGGAATCTGAAGCTGTCACAAGATTAACGCGCGTGTTTGGCCTTCGTTCACATTTTATTTTTATTACAGTGAATGAATAAAAACACACAAGTGGTGACATATCTGAATCAAGGGAACTAACATGAGTGCAAGAAAGTACGTTCTATCGTAGCGCGTATTTCCACCCAGGTAATTCGATATAAATGTAATATACATTAATAATATTTACTATATTATTAAAATCTTATATATAAGCGCCATTTTATATTTTAATGCGATGAAAATTTTAACTTGATAATTCTATACAAAGTACATACAGATTCAAATCCACGTAATATAAATTAATGCCGTAGTTAAAGCGAGTTATAAATGATAAAAATAATAATAAATACGATATCGGAGTATTCCGTTAATAGTTGAAAACAGCAACGGTTAGCTAAAAATCATTTTCTGGAAATCCGCGAAATTGTGATGCAACAGGTGACGCCAGTCGTGCGAGTCCGGATTAAAATTTATGATCAGCGATCATGCATCACGCGATTGAATACGAGTTTGCTTCGAAGTAGATCGTCTTCGAGATTTATACGACTGAACGTTTTGTGATGATAAACGGCAGCTTGAATGTGAGACGTGTCGCACATCCCGTCAGGAAATGGTCCGAGGGTGGCCATCGGTGATCGATAATACATTCCGATAACACATCGTCGGATAAATGTGCTCTTTCTACGAGCGATCATTCTCCGTGCAACAGGTGAAAGAGTCGCGGTAAACTCCATAATTTCTTCTAAAACAATTTTGTATGAATAAAAAAAGATAAAAAACTGCAATTTGATAGGCAGAAACATATTGCCTATTAGCGCAGTGAGAAAAGAAAAACGCGAATTGGTACACCTTGATACTGGAGAAAGAGTAGAAAACTGTTCGAAATAGTAGAATAGTCTAAAAATTAAATCAATATTGTGCTTGATTTAATAAAGAGATAAATATTAACAACGCGAAAAAAAAACACTGCTCTTTTGTAAGAAATAAATTTATTTCTTCCACATCAAGTGTACTTATCTGCATTTCTGCACTGCCAAGTTCAGTCGATATCAGTTTGCAACCTTGTCGTTTCCTCTTCGTCATTTAATGCATAATATAAGTGTATCGAGTGTATTAATGCGGCGATTATCAAGCAAAACGTATATGCAAAATGTATTATTGTAAATGTATATATTTTTGTTTTAAAAATGCTAATTGCTGACTATTTACATAAAAAATTTATATTTATGCTGTAATATGATTGCAAAAAGTAGTAAGCATAAAATTAAATACACGTTGCATGCTAATTAAATGCAAACAGCAAGCTATAGTAATCTACAATATAAAAAGATATTACATAAATAAAATAAACAAAATCAGTATATTGTATTATTATAAAATAAATATGGAAAATGATTGAATGATAAATTAACTTTTATAGCAAGTGTAATTTTCCCATACGAGATAAATTAACTTTTATAGCAAGTGTAATTTTCCCATACGAGATTCCGGTTTATCAATAAATGGGCCATGTTATCGATTTAATGGTTTCAATAGCACTAAAAGCTGCACTGCAATCGCGAATATTGCGCGTGATCATAACCGAGAGATGCTATTTCCAATAATTGGATACTACAGAGGCTGCTATCTTAAAAATGAAGGAAAACTTCGCGAGTTTCTTTTATTATCTTAAATCTTTTTTATATACTTTCTATAATAAAATCAAAGAATTTCATAATAAATTTCGTAATCTTCACAAAAGATTTGTCGAGTTTAATATTTGTACGGCGAATATTCAACTTTGTTATTCAAATTGGTTAATATTTTATCCCCCGAAATTAATTAAATTCAATAAAACTTTTATATCCTTATTTAAAATGTTAATTTAATTTAAAAATTATAATTATACGAAAAAAATTATTTATTACGCAAAATATTAAAAATACATTGCTAAAAGTAATATTGATGTTTGAAAGATCGAGATTTATTTAGCCAAGCCTTGAAAAATATAGAATTCAGAGAAATATATAATTCTACAATTCACGCAATCCTCGCGTCTGTCATAATTAATCAAATGGCTTCACTATTACTGAAAAACAAAACGTGTAATAATGTAATTTATTTCCCATTGAGCTTGTTTGCTCGCATTAGAAACTAAATTAGGTTCATGTCATAGTCGAAAATACATAACCGAATTTGTTTTACATTCAATAAATTTTCTCAGTCACATAGAAAAACATTGTAAGAAATACAAATAGAGAGTCTTCAGAGTTTATTTTATTAAAATTAATTCATTATAAAATCATATAAATTAAGAAGTTACAATAGTATTGAACCTTCTGTCAAAGAATTTTGTTTATTGAAAATTTCTAGTGCAATTAATAAATCAATTCTGCACAGTACTTCTGTAATTGAATCAAGTTGTTAACTATTTAACGTTATTAACGTTTATAATTTTAATTAAAACACTTCTGCTATTTTAAATACATCGTACCAGCCAAAAAAATTTTTTAAACTAAAATAAAATTAAAGATTACATAATTTAAATTTATGGAATATAAAAAAGATTGCTAATTTTCACATGAAGATAATTGCAAAATTTGTAATATTCCTGAAGGCCTCTTACGTCGCGTTTGATCGTCGCAGTTGAACGAGAAATTATTGTGCGTACGCATTATCAGGCACTTACGCCAATTTCGCATAAACATCATCGAGAATGATCGCTCGAGGCTGCACTTTCTCGATGTTTTGCTTCAAAAAAATAGATTTAATGCTCTCAATTGTCATCCACGGCTGTCAATTGACATCACACTCTCGCGTTTCCCTATCATATTTGCACAAGTTCGACGATAATGTGAATCCAACTCGGATCAGATGACAGATTGAATTATGGTCCCGATGGAGTTGTCCGTTGACGCCTTCTACAAATGAAGGATTAATTTCCCAATCGATAACTGCCTGTTGTTCCAACAAAGAGCTCTGTATGTTAATGGAACTATAACATTGCGTGTTGCTCCAATAGAGATCATTGTGCGTTAATCTAGACCGCCTGTTGTTTCTAGTAAAGCTCTATATCTTATATATAAGCTCTATATTATACCGCTATATTATACCAATTAATTCTAACTAAGAATCATTGTCAATTAACACCCCGTTTGTTCTGATATCATTGACAGAGATACGAGAACACGATATAATCGCATAAGATTTTTGATAGAGAAGTTACGAGTAAATTTTTTGCGGCGTCCCAAAGAATCGCACATCGTGCGAACGAATGAACACGATAAATGTTACGGAATTGGCACGCATTGATTCGATAAGAGTGTAACATAAATAATTCCGGCTATTCGAGTCTCAAGAGCTTAAGCAAAAGCGACGCGGTGAGATTCATAAGTATATACTTATTTATCATAAGACAGATCGTCATAAATAATCCCACGAAACGATCGCTGTGATCAAAAGTGATTTTTATTTTTCATCCTTGTTAAAGTCCCATATGCTCACGCTGCTTCGTATAAATAAAATCAAGAATGAATTTGCGACAATAAATAAACGACAGCTACGAGAAGAAGAATAAATTGAAGCGTGTCAGATGTTTTCTAAATCTTTAAAGCTTGACAAACTATGACTATGATCCACTAACCGAGCGGTAAATCAAAAATTTCTGTTAAAACTGCTAGGAAATGAACAATAGCAGACATGTAAGTTAAATAAACGAGAAGAATTCTGGAGCTGTCGGAAACATTCAGTTTGAGAATAAAGAAAGTCGTGCTTCGTAAAGAGATATTTAACGTGGAAAATTTTTATAAATTTTTCTAACGTCAATTATTTGAGAGCGCATTTTTTTCGCGTTTTTTAGAAATACTTGCGTAACGGCGTAACAGCAGTACGAGGACTTTAAAATTGTAGAAATATATTATTCATATATTATTCATTACGTGAGATTACGTCTTATTTTATAAAAAAGAAGATAGCGAAGGATAGCTGAAGAGATACGATATATAATAAAAACTGACAACTGCTCGTCCAAAGTACACGTCAGAGGTCTCGTTAACATATTTCGAAGTGTCAGAGGTTCAGCCAGGAGGTTCACATCGAAGATTGAAATGGCGGACAAATCGAGGAAATTGACATACTAACTTCGCGGAGCGAAAGCGATTTTCACGCAACGTTTGACAACAAAAAAGTTAACGACTCATTGGGGCCAATTAGACAACGCTAGACGTCAGCTGGGAGCGCGATCTGCGACGAAAATAGCGCCATGTGTTTCCGTTCTGTTCGATGAACGGCGTTTACGAAAGCACAGCGTCGCCGATCGTAAAGACAACGAGTGTGTGGAGACGGAGTATATATGTTCTCGCGCGCGCGTAGAAACAATTTTCGCAAACGTGATGACGCAGAAACGGGTTTAGGACTCCGTCGAGAGTGTGCGCGGTTTGTGGCTTTCGAAATGCGCTACTAAAATCTCCGCTTTGTTTTGCCGAAGCGACGCGCTCGGAAAATGCGCGCTGCGACCGCGGAGCTTGGTACGGTTTGCGGATAAACTCAGGATTGCTCCGTGCGAACTTTTAACTCGAGAGTTAAATAAATTTTCCAATCGACTAGATTAAAATTCGAGAAAGTTAAAGAGAAAGTGTTAAATGTTATTATTATCGTCGTAGAAATACTTTAGTTACTTTGGACAAATATTTTGTATTTTTTTCATGAAACTTTCCATGCGATTAATTGAAAATTTTTTATAAAAAGAAAGTTGTAATATATAGTATAACACTCGAATACTTAATTTATATATATATATATATCGGACCATTTTTGCACTTAATATCGCGATTTTATATCGGTAAACACGGTTATCATATTTCTGCCATCGCCTTAGCGATTTGTCGCAGAGAAATATGATATTTCAAAGATTGAATGGACCGGTAATGCGTGTATAGAGTCTGGAAAGTGGACCGCGGCTAAAGGCGACGTGTTCAAAGATCAGCAGTGTATATATTCGGAAGGTGATACCCTTGTCAGAGCAGTTAACACAATGGTGACAGTGTGGTAAGCGGATATTTAGTAACAAACAGGAATATCATATATGGCTGAAAATCATATTATACGCTATTAAGATCTTTTTAAAGACATCTACATCTCGTTAGCGACAGACTCCGCGAATAATTCCACGCGCTAATGATATCCATTGTGAAAAAATAGGATTCGCACAAAATAGAACGGATTTCGCCGTTAATGAATGAATGCCTGTTATGATGCGTAGCAACGTCACAGGCAGATTCATCCGTCAACTGACTACTATTAAAATTCATTGTATAATTGGCGTAACGAACATAAATAATTGGTCACGTCGATCTCCCGCGAAACGAATTGATGGCAGATCTGTGAGATAACGAGACAGCCGACTCATCTGGTTGCGAGTACATCGAAAGATAATTAGAAATTAAATACGTTTAACAAAAATAAGTTTGCGCTGAAGTTTATATCGGTCGCGTCTGAGCCACGAGAACAATATTGCAGGTAGGTCTGATTGAGGAATTTAGGCGGCCCTTCAATTCTCGCGTAAATTGACCGAAATTAATTGAAGCGTCGGGGAGGGCGGAACGTTAATCGGTAGATGATGAAAATCCCTATCCATCCGTAATGCCATCCGTAGTGCCATCCACTAACATACCACTATTGCAAATCCATAATATACCACTATTGCAAATCCATAATATACCACTATTGCAAATCCATAATATACCACTATTGCAAATCCAGAAGATCGAGAACGCAATAACTACGCCCTTATCCAAAATTTAATTGCTCAATTACGACTGTATAGCCCGATGTTTGCCCTTTGGACATTATGAAAATTAGAGCAAACTTGCAATTTCAGGTCAACACGTGGACGAGGGTAAGCAACGGAAGGATCTTGCATCGCGAAAAACTGACGACACATGAAAAATATTGACATTTTCGACAAGATGTAGACTGAAATCCGCCAGCAACATCGATCGTAAACCAGGATTACAACGACGAACTTTTATGGGAACGTCGACACTGCTCGAGGAAGATATCGTAATTCCCGTGTTCCGGAGAAACGTCATTGCAATTTAATTAAGCTGATCTGGAATATTTATGAACAAAGTTAAACAACGAAAATGTAGACGGAAGTTTATAACTTACAAATATCTTCTCGTTCAAGCTATCGACTTAAAATTTCATTATGAAATCCCGAACGTCAATTTATTTACTATCCTCTCGAAGTCAATCCTCGCCAATTGCCATCGTATTCCGAGAACGCTAAAGGAAGCGGAATGATCTCGAACACAATAACGAATATTACAAAGATTCCCCAAGGGGAATCTTCAGGGGATTCTTGGAGATTCTCGACGACCGGCTATCTGCAGGAGCCTCACTCCACGATCGGCGGCGCCGTTCGCATGAATTACACGAACATGATCCTCTTCGACGACGACATCGCGTCGACCCGCCGAGATTCCCTGTACGTCGTGCTACCCATCACCGTGATCTACGTGGTGATCTTCTTCACCGGCATGATCGGCAACATCTCCACGTGCGTGGTGATCGCGCGCAACAAGTCCATGCACACCGCCACCAATTACTACCTCTTCAGCCTCGCGGTGTCCGACCTCCTCCTACTCGTATCCGGTCTGCCACCGGAAATGTATTACATCTGGTCGAACTTCCCGTACATATTCGGCGAGGCGTTCTGCATTATTCAGAGCTTCGCCGCGGAGACCTCGGCCAACGCCACCGTTCTCACCATCACGGCCTTCACCGTCGAGAGGTGAGTTTAAAAGTATTATATCGCGCATATCGTCCGACATCCGGATTGACAGGGCGTCGTAAATATGTTTCAAATCATCCTGTCAATCACCCGATTTTTATCCATTTGATATCCCGAGAATATTCCATTCTTTTTTCCCCTTTTTTTCACGAATCGCGGATGTTATGGATACCTTATAGATAACGTATTTCGCGTTTATCTATAACTCTCGTCTGATGTGTGTGTGTGTGTGTGTGAAGTCAATAAAATACAATGAAAAGAAAAACTCGCTTCAAGCTCCTATCATCACAGTTCTGTAATAGCTATGATTTAGATTGCGTGTAAACTCCAATACGATTCGGATATTCTCGAGATAAAGCCGGATCTTTTCAAAGGAACAAAATCCTTTTTAACATTTCTTTCGCCGTAGGTACGTGGCGATCTGTCATCCCTTCATCTCGCATACAATGTCGAAGCTGTCTCGGGCGGTCAAGTTTGTGGTGGCGATCTGGTTGTTGGCTCTGTGCCTCGCCATTCCGCAGGCCATCCAGTTCGGCATCGTTTATGAGTATTTTAACGAAACCATCATTTCGGACAGTGCCAAGTGTTCGGTACGATGGACGCTGAACGAGCACGCCTTCGAGATCTCGACCATTCTATTCTTCGTGATACCGATGACGATCATCACCGTGCTGTACGTGCTGATAGCCGTCAAGCTGCGACGCTCGAGCCTGCTGACCATCAGTAAGAGGCATCACGTTCCCGGTGGTTTGAATCACGCGGACAGCAGCAGAGGAAAGACGAACGCTCAGAGGAACGTCATTCGCATGCTCGGTAAGCGACGCGGTCACTTTGATCGTCCGGAAATTACAACTTGCGGTCGGGCATCCTTAGAAACGCGATTTGAGATGATTGAAATCGGACTTATTTCGACTCTTGAATACTTATGAAGTCATCAAAGACTTTTATCCATCAGACTGTATAATTAACTGAATATCGAAAGTAGTGATTCATTGTAATAAAGCTTTTCAACAATTCCTAGAAAAATTTACAGGAAAAAGTTTATTACCCTGGGAGAATACGCTGAATCGTGATATGCAGAATATCTTGGAATAAATAGTTCAATCTGTGTAATAATAAGTTTCCTAAGAAGTCAAACGGATAATAAAATTATAAGCTTCAATTAATTTCAAGTAGATTTTAATACAATTTCAATTTGAGGAAAAGAGAAAAAACTTTGTTCCAAATATAATTAAAATTTGAAAAGTTTTATTCTAAGAAAAATTTGAACTCAACGAACGGAAGATCATAAAATGTATTTCATTTATTCACTCTGCATTTTTTCAAATAATTTGTGATATTTGCAAACAGATATATCATGCAGCGCTATAATTTAATAAACTTTATGGCAATATTGACATTTAATAATTAGTTAACTAATAATATAAATGTAATATGTTTTAGTTCAAAGTTAGTAAGTTGGCATAGTTTCAAGTGCAAATAATTCAAATATATCAAATGTTCTTTTCTTACGAAAAGTTCAGATAAGCTTGGAGCGACAAGCTCGCTTGGAGCAAGTTGGCGAATGCTTAATGCCAGACATTCCTGCAGCAGCACCATGAAATATTCAAATCCGCACTTAGATATTTGAGAGAACTTTGCTAGAAGAACATAGATATTTAAGTAATGCCGTAAGCGTCCTCGTCCCGATATGCAAGTAATTTCGCAAACACGTTACTACATTAATAAAGAGACACTTAAAGCTTCAACTTTTTCATCAAATATAAATCTGTATAAGTATCATATATCATATATTATATTAAAAATAAAATTTAAAAATATCTGCAATCTGAAAATGACATTATCATTTACTTACATTTGCTTTTTACATGTGAAAATCATAATATAAAATTAATTATTGAATTTACGTTTAAGTGGACAGAATCTATATCTCCTGAAATACCGTGACACGTCATATATCAAATAATATCCTGGCGAGATCGACATTTAATTTCAAGCAAAATTTTAATATTCTTTACATGTTTTCATTTAGACACATAAAATGAAAAAAATCATAGGAAAGAAATTATGATGTTATTAATTCCATTTATCGCTGTTAATTCAATATTATATTCATTTCCTGAATAAAATATAAGAATTATATAGAGATAAATGCCATTTCTAAATCCAATTTGATCTATTAAAACATTGAGAGAAACCGTCCGTACGATCGATTCTAATATGCTTCGTTGTATCTAACTTTACGAATATTTTAACAATAGAAATCCACGATATCGGTCTGTCATTGAAACGCACAAATATCAGAAAATATTGATTCGGGAGTATAATCGCGGGTGTTTGGTGGACTTTTTATGGTTTCGCATAAACTCCCCCTTGCCATTGCGACGTCGACTGTTCGTAATAAAGAGTCTTTATTCACGTGACATTTACTTCGACCCTCTTACAAGTTCTTTTTATTTTCTTATTTGACATCTAGATTTCGAAACTTAAAATTTAGACTATTCTAATCTTAAATCTCTTTTCTCTTAATTTAAAATTTTTGATAAAATTGTATCTTAATTTTATCAACACAGGAATAAAATAAAATATATGTATACAATATATATAAGCATATTTTCGAAAAAATTTTTTTCTTACGCTTAAATAATCGTATATCATAAAAAATTCTTTTGTAAAAAAGATCTAATAAAAAAGTAATGAAAATTTAACAAGTGTCTTCATCTTGTTAGAAAGTAATTTTTCTAAAGGAATATCAAACTTTTTTTTATTATCTCCAATTTTATTTGCGATTAAAATAATTCTACATTTATATTACGGACAATATTACCATCAGTAAATTGCCTTTTCGGAATGTCTTGATGGGAAAAGAAAATTTCCACGCTGCTTCCGCTTACCCTCGAATACGTAATAGGTCTTCGCGCGACGCGACATTCTTACGATACCACGCTTTGTTCGTGATAGGAATAGGATCGACGAACTCGTTTGTTGGAAGAAGCCATTGACAAGTCTCTTGAGGCTGAACTATTTCCGTCAAGACGGCGATCAACGAGATCACCGAACGCGATGAGATCGTGAGGATTGCCGGGTGTGCCCACGACGAAATAAGCGGATCAACGACTGATTTCAGACTCGATTACACTACGCCCATTTTCAGGTCTGTCAACTCGGATACGCGCATTAGTCGGATCGAATCGAGCGAACGTGAGAATGCCGAGCGAATGTTTTGGGCGTTCCAAGATATTATTAGGGCTAAATCATGCTTCTGCAAGTCATTATCAGAAATCTCGCAAAATTCATACAAGGTCGATAAATTTTTTGAAAAAATTTTAAGACAGTTTTTTCTCACCAAGATTGATATTGAAATCGATTATTACGGAATTATTCTCTCTATTCTATAATGACTAAAGAGACGTAAATCAAACCTTTTAATCTGAAAATTTTAATTTCAAACGAATGTTTATACGTGCGTAATCCCAAATTGGACGAGACACACGCGATATTCATAATTCACATATATTCAAATGTGTTCGCCAATCTCGTTATTTACGTAAAAAAAAAAAAAAAAAAAGCGCGCCGTCATATTTTCAGCGAATCAATTGAGTATTAACGTCGGCAACAAAAAAAAATCAAACCGACATCCAGCAGCGCCCCAACATAGTGGCGAAATTTGAAATATGAGGGTGTATAAGACCTCGAACGTTATCGACATTTCTCGTGAGTTAGCCCCTTATCTTCTCCACCTTGCTACGAGCGGCCTCGAGAGCTCGGAGGCTCTGCGCCTAAAACCCCGGAGAATTATTCCGCTCGCGCGCGGTAATAGTCATAGATAAACGACCTGCTCTTCTCGTCACACTTCTAATCATTCACGATGTCACGCAACAGTCCCGATTTCATCCTCGGTCGCATCGACAAGCCGGCAGCTCTCCTTCTGTCCTGGCCTCCCCGACGAACTTTCGGACCAGGTCTCTTTATTGAATTTCTTTCGAACTTTGCTTTCAAGGCCGTCGAGTCCAGAGACAAATTGAGCGACGCGAAATATGGGGAAAATATATTGAGGAAGAATGAAAAACCAATTCATAATTTCAATGAGTCAACATTTCTTATGGGACTAATACACATCACGAGCGATCGCTGTTGAAAATTTAAATGTCTCGTATTTTCTTTACGATGAACATTTAGATGAAAGATCTGTTGAAGCAATTAATACATTTACATCCGTTCCGCGTATATATCAGGGTCCTTAACGTGGATGACTAAACAAATTGCCATTGTTACGCATTCGCAGATGCATTCTGGTGAACGACGAATTGTGTATCTTTGCCCGATCTAACCAGGCGATTTCCAGTCTATTTTTCGACCGATCCGCTTACGTAAGATTCGAGTAATCTCCGAAAGGTTCCACGTGCCCGTGGGTCGCATCCAAATTTACACTGAATTATTATGGCAGTTCGCAGATCTTCCAGATCGCAATTTATCGCTCGCGTCAGTGCGCGATATGCCGAACATTCTTCCATTGTATCTTTACTCCTTGAACCACTCGTGAATCAAGTGTAAGCTATTCTAGGAATATGTGCCTTACGCACGCAGCAATACAAGAGTTTGCAATTACTAGTACAGAAAATCGGATAATTAAGCGTTAAAACTATTATATAATTTTTTTAGATATTTAATTTAGATAAACTCTTCTCTCTTATGTAAGTTCAATTCTTATGCAAGAGTATTGTCCAAACATACTCTCGGAAATACCGATGTAACACCGCCGGTAACACAAATCTCTCGCGTGGCGAGAAACTTTATTTAGGTTCCCCTTATCGAAATACATGTGGAACATTCCGACGTGAAGCTTAATGAAGGGAAAGCATAACGAAAAAAACACGCTGTCCAAAATCATAGTTTATCCGGAATCATCCGGAATCATTCTTATTCTTCGGCATATGAGAATTCTATGGCCCTTCGGATTCCACGCACATCCCATCCTAAATCATCGTTATGCTATCCAGATGATCGCAATGGTAACAAAAGGTCGACGTGCCGACTAAAAATACCTAACAGGCACATTTGCCCATTACTTTTGATTTCTAAATATCGCAAAGTACCATCGAGATCTTTTATTTGCCGTCTCACTTTACATCGATTCAATCTGTTTGACCAGGATGAGAAGCATTTCGTCAAACAATTCTAATAAATTATTTTAATAAATTATTTTATCTTCCTTCTAACATACTAAAGACTCCTCTCTTCATTTATCCAGAGCGTAGAGATAATGCATGTTATCTGAAGGAAAGAAAAGTTTGCTTTTTATACACACACGCGTCCATGTTTTCTTTTTCTGTCGTGCCGATCGAAGTCTGAGATCGCTCGTTCGCGTTCCATACAAAAATAAAAGCGAGAAAGATACATTTGATTGGTTTCGGAAAACGCGTGTGTTGTAGTTATCTTCGTAATGAAATCCCCGGTGTTATCAAACGGTCCATTAGATATGAAACGAAGCGTGTGAAAGACATTGAATTCTTCCGCTTCTATAAATCGGAATGACATGAGTCATTGACGTTTATCTTCGGTTTTCAAATATCTAATTGAGAAATATAATTATATAAAAGTTGAGGTTATAAATACAAAATTATGATAAAATACAATAGGAAAATACAATTAATATATATAATTAATGTATATGAAATTATATTTAAAATAAAAAATAATGAAGAAATGAAGAAGTTACCCCTAATAATAATATATAATAATAAAAAAATTAAATATATTAAATTAAGATACATTAAGTATCTGGAAAATTGATCATCTCTGAAAGTCATCGTTTGGAGACGCAACAAGTTATCGAATGAGAATTTCATTATTTTAATGACAGACGTGTTACACTATCATTCTATTAACGAGGAAACGATCGTTTGTAAATTTATCGATAATTTATTGATAATCGAAACTCTATTGAGTCATAGCTCGTTACGTTTGCGATAATGACCATATCCATGTTCGGAGTATCAAACTTCCTGATCCGTGCACATCTGTGATAAAATAAAAAAAGCATTTGTTAATCAAGCAAAGTTAAACGAGCTTTTACGAATCATAATAATCGCTCGTCACATTTCCACAATGATTTTCTATTATCAAGTTTTACATCCGTGTGTGATAATGCATTTGCGCCACGTGGCAATCATAAAAATATTCAAACGCAAGCAAATTTTACGCATTTACATTAAATTGATACGAATAGCAATAAAAGATGCTTGATAAATAAAAAATATTATACTGATACATTTATGTTTTGCATAGTATTATATTGGAGGTGAATCAGGAGGTGTGATCAGATCCGCGAATTTGAAAACGAAAAACTATTCCAATGCGATTCGTTCGGTGAGAATTTACGATCTCAGCGGGATCGCTTGTCTTCTCTCTCTCCTGATGGCTAGGCATTTCGGCCGAAGCGATAATTGAAATAAAAATGTCGACCTTCATACTATCAAGCATATGGGCGAATCTCGTTTGTCAACGAACATGCGCGGTAATAAAATTGACTACCTAGCTGCAAAAAAAAAGAGAGAAAAAAATACGTATCTCTCCGCATTTCCGTATCGCCGAATGTTTTCTATCGTTGCGACAAACTGTGACGAAACGACGTTTCAAATCAACGCACCAATGATTCATTTGTGTTTTCGATCCCTCGTCAACCAGAAACGCGTCATTTACAGTCGCAATACCTCACAAATTGTGAAGAGTTAGTTATCTCGATTTTTTCCAGAAACGCTCGATTTTTTACGAAAACGCTTCTGCAAAGATGTTGAAAATAAAAAAATTTTCATGAAGCTTTCAAAATTTAAAAATTTCGTGTAAAACGTTGTAAACGTTGTAAATGTTTCCATGGAAATAGAATGAACAGTTCTTAACATATTATTTATATCCTTTTCCAGCTTAACTTAAAATAAAAACAAAGTTCGTCCGTTAATTAAAATTGCTAATAAACTATGGATATTACTTTCATTATTTATCTTTGAATTCACTACTAATTTTTTCTCTTATGCAATTAATATATATATATATATATATACACACACACACACAATTGTTTAATAAAAAAGATAATTAGATTTTTCTTTAAGTACTGAGTTTTTTAAGTTAATTAATTACAAAAAACTTGTAGATTAAACAATGCTTAAAATGATTATGTTTCGTCATTTTCGCATCTATCGAGTAAGTACAAACAAATATTTTCTAAGTATATAATTCTTTAAATTTTTTCATTGCTATTTTGCGTAAATTGAATTCGAAATATTATCCCATCCTACATAACCCATTTACTTTCTCAACAGCCGTCACATCCCTCATCCTTTAATATCCGCCTAAAGACGAGCAGAGAGCAAAGCTACTTTTTGTATACTTTTCCTCCTGCCAAATCGAGTTCCAATATAAAATATTTACGACAGTGAAAGTGTTCTTGTATATTCACGCCCGCGATCGCTCATAATTTTTTATACATCTCAGTTATCGCCTAAAGCCTTTTTTTAAAAAGCTTCTTTTCAAAAAGCTTCTTCAAGGATACCCCTGCGAAATTGCAGGATCATGCTTCCAAGATTAAGATTTAGATATCTTCATTCTTCTACTCTTTGCATTTCAGATCACAGGAAAATAAGAAAGTATAATATTATAATATATTATAATATTTGCATCGCGCGAAATATTGTTCTCTCTAAGCTTTTATTATATTGGGCTACTATATATCGATTAATTACGATTAGGGATTATCACGCCGTAATCTAATCATTCATCATTGTAGCGTTAGTTACAAAGAGACTCATTAATCTCACCCGTATTCTCAAATGCCTTTATCTCTGAATACTGTGTTTAAGATCTTTACGATTTTTGTTGATGACCTTTTGTGAGTTTTGTCGTGTCTTAAGTCTTCGAAAATTTTTAAGCGATATTATATCGCTCCTTTCTTCCTAAAAGACAATAGTGACATTGACGACGTAGCTACAAAATTTTATTCACAGAATATAGTTTGGCACGACGTGAAAACATCCAAATAGTTCGCTGTAAGTCTTTTACTATCAAAAAGATGAATTACGTGAAAAATTTAATTATATTTTTTCTTACTATTGTGTTTATAAATTTTTAACTTATTTTGTTATAGAAATATTTACATATTTAAATATAATTTATATTTTTTCATTTTTATTGCAAATAACTTTATTTTCTTTTGTAATGAAAAGTTTAAGAAAAACTTACTGCTTAACTTCAAGAAAAAAATATTGTAAAAACAAATATTTTTGAACTCTGTATTTAACCATCATTTTAATGCAACAATTATATATAACTGCATCATTCGATTTTGAAATATTTGAAAGGAGTGGTTTCCCTAAATTAAATTTTTATCAATAAATTTATGATCTCGTGACTACAATTAGAATATAACTACAGTTAGAATATAAAAGCGAAATGTAAAGATCGTACAAAAGATAGAGAAATCTGTGCTGGATAATCTTAAAATTGTAATTACTTGAAATTGCGAGAAAACTAGATTTTAGATAAAAATAAACTGCTTTTCGTGCTATCATCGCATTTCCCGAATGTCATCGACCACTCTGCTTAATGAAACAGCATATTTTTTTTTCATCTATATTTAACATGCGAAAATTTCTTTACTGGATCTTTAATTAATAAATGATCTTTTCATTTTATTTTTAACTTACAATTTTTATATATATATAATAATATATTTATATATATATATATGTATATATATACATAATAAATTTTATATATATATATATATACATACTAAAATAAATTCTAAAAGAAGACTAAGACCGAGTTTTTGATTTCCTTATTTTCTACAAGTTGATTGTCTTAGCTCTCAAAGACTGCAATGTACCACAGTGATGTGGATACGACGTAATAAAACTTCATTCTCTTGGTGCAAAGCAATGAAATCGCAAAAGGTAATCTGAAGTGCTAAATGAAGGCAAATGGTCTCTGCGATGACTCTGCAATGTTATCCGTCGTATTTACCTCAATACGATTCGCAGGAATCACGCGAAGATGATTAATCTCTTGATCTATTAACTCTAGGAGCTCTACTCACCTTGTTCAAACTGACATTAACACGCACATCTTACAATTATCGTAACATCTAGAATGAGGGGGGGGGGAGGGGAGGGGAGAAAGCGTTTCTAAAATATTCTTAATTACGCTAATTTTATTTTGCAAAAATCAATTTGTTTCATATCCCAAGTGAGAGAGCGATTTGGCTTACCTTGCTTCCCTTCCAACTTAACGGAATGTCTTTACTATCTTTATAGTTGCAGTAGTGGTAGCCTTTTTTATCTGCTGGGCGCCATTTCACGCACAGAGACTGCTCGCCGTTTACGCTCAGAGCAGTCTCAGCTCATCTGAGGCGAAGGATACCGTGGTCATAGTCTATACTACTCTCACATACGTGTCGGGGGTGTTCTACTATTTATCCACCACGGTGAATCCACTCCTCTACAATATCATGTCTAACAAGTTTCGAGAGGCTTTCAAGGTGAGTTTCTCGTTTAGGAGAATCGGATTTAGTTGATTAATTTTCCACTGGAGATCCCCATATGAGCCAGTTTATAATTAAGCCCTAATATATATGCAAAGAACAGAAAAATAAACTTTATGCACTTTAATTAAAGACATTTTTGTTATAAATAATCAAATGTTTTATATCTCTATAATTTTATTACATTCTCTCATTTTTTAATTTAACTTCTTAGATTTTTTTATATTCAAATATGTTTGTACAATAAATAATAGTTTTGAACTTCAAACAAAGAGCTTCTGTTAACTTAATCACAAACTTTTCTCAAATATTATTGACAAGACAATTACGACACCTACAATAAAACCGTAAGCATCAAATTTTCATTTAATTTCATTTCATTTATTCTTCCAGTCGATGTTGCCCAAGCGTTGCGTCAGGAAGTTCTCATCTCATAAGGGCACGCATCGACAGCCGACTTACAGCAGCCTGTCGCGGTATCAAAGGTCGATGAGGCATCGATTCGACGATCCTCAGCACTCACCCTCAATATCGGTTAGCGATGAACAGCAACGATTAACGCATATTGCACTAGCGAACGCAAACTCCTGCGAGCTGAACGGGCTCGCGAAGAACGAGCGGCCTCATATCGCGATCAGGGAAACAAGTTGCCGAGATTACACCAGAAGAGTGTCCAGAGATTCCGATTCCAGTCAAGTTACCATGATGACATCGTTGAGCAAAGATCGCGACGAGGGCAACAACAACGTGACTGCCACGAACGACTGCCTATCGAGGATTCACAGGTCGTCGAAGGCTGTCACTTTAGGTAGCATTTGTGTCTCAGCGATGTTGATTAATCTATACGCATGATCCATCATCTGCATGATTGCGCACGTGTAAAATGATATCCCATCAAGATACGAGTAATGATTAAAAGTTAATTTTTTATCGAGATTATGACTTAGAAAATATCAATATTAAATTCCTCAAGTTCATATAAGCATCTTACTTTCAAAGATACAAGTGCATGTTTCGAATTTAATAAGCAGATTCTTGTTGCTTTGAATTATATATATATATATATATATATATATATATATATATATACAAGCATGAAAATGTAAAAGCTGTGTGAAACTTAAGAAAAATATGTATCGTGATTCTTGTAATTTTTATACTTTTCTATACTTTTTATTTCTATACTTTTTTCTAATTTCTAGTCATTTCATATTTGAAGTGAGAAATTTACAAAATAAATGTGCTTTCGAAAAATAGATACTTTTGCTTCTGTCTTCTGCCAAGATTTTTCGCATTAATTCTTACTCGTACGATTTGATGAAATCTCAAAAAAGGTATTCCCAGCCCTTTGATATCTTCAACAGGGATCCTTACGGAAAGACTGGGCCTCGGCACAAAAGGATTTTTCGCGCAACACCGGAAGAATTTACCGACGAATCCAACGAAACCGAAAAACGTGCCGCCATGCCGATTTCAGAGTCACCCGAGCATCGAGAGCTCCAATACGATTAGTAACTCCAGTCTTCAGGAATTTGACGAGACCGAATTCACTGGGACGGAGCTGGCACGTTACATGGGCGAGTTGAATTTCAACCTAGTTACCTGACATTCATTCTTTGCGAGAGAATGCCGTCTCTCGAATTAGATATCGAGCAGAAATCAAAACTCTCTGTGAACTCTCTTGAAACGACAGATTTCTACAAATTTTTAATCCGAGAGTCTTTTCCGAAGGTCGCAATTGAGCTCGCGAATCGCGAGTCTCGGATGCAACCGATGCTGGATTTAGCCGCGTGCCAAACGGTACACAGTTGCATCATCGAGACGAATTGGCGCGAAACATAAGCAGAAGGCGAGCAGAACTTTGCAGAAAGTTCTATGGCAAGAAGAGAAAGGAACTGATCCGCTTATTTTGATCGCACGAAGAGGCGCAAGATATATGGAAATTGATGAAAATGTAAATAAACGGTATTAAAAGCACCGCATGTAATTTACGGACTAAAAGGGGATATTTAGGCGTATCAGTGATTCACACGAACAGCCATGCCGGAAATTACATGGACGCAGGATGTAAAACATGTGTGGATGTTTGATATATCTAAAAGTACGTATGTTGCGAACGCGTTATACCTCTACACGGCTGTTAATAACGCTAGTCTTCCGCAAACGCGGAGAAAATTTGCAGATACAGAATGTTCCTAAGAACGTGTATAATGAAGATTAGTATGATGTTCTTATTAATAATGTAATCATGTAATTAAATGGAACATTCTGTCATCAGTTATGTCAACGCGTGTCAAGACAGCTTCTTCCTTTTCATCCATTGTCAAAACTAATATAATTTTTCGTGATAATAGTACATTGCATAACGATTTTAATGTTAAGCGCGATCAAAAATTTATATAAACGTAAAGCCTGCGTAATTTATTTATTTCTGTCATGTCGTACGAACATTAGAGGAATGTCAACACGCACAAAATTATTTCGACAATACCAATAAAAAATAGTTGATTACAAAACTAAAATTTGTACAAAAAAATAATTGATATATCTTTTAAAAATCTTTTAAAAAAATTTGCTTGTTTATCATGTACAGTTACAGAGATATATTAAAAGCTGTGAAATACAAAGTTATACAAATTGAAGTTGCAAAAGTTTTTTCGAAGCCAATAAAATTATATTGAGAAATATATAACTAAAAATAGCCAAAATTATAATTACGATATTTTTTATTTACACCATCAACTGATTGCATATATGCACACTTTAATTTTATGTAAAACTTAATTAATTCTAATATTTATTTTTGTATGTTTATATATATTATTAGAATAATGTCTGGTATTTAGCTTAATTTTATTTAACAGAAAATAAGTATAAACAATAAACCAGTACTACTATTTGCATAAACAACATTGTATATAATTTGCTAAATAAAGATGTAACATTTTCCATTTCAAATTATTATTTTCAAAACAGCGAATGCACACACATTATCTTTATGGTTTTATTTCATGGTCATTATTTTTATGGTTTTACAAAACCATACAATTTTTTATTAAATAATTTTTTTAACCAAGGCAAAACTGTTCCACTTTTGTTTTAATTTTAGATGATCCTTGTTTACAATTCCTGACTAAAATAAATCTTAGACATTCATAGACAGAAACATTCGACAAATAAATTATAGAAATACATTTTTCAAAAGTAATATTAAAAAGACAATGCTTTAGACAAGACTTTCAGTGGTTTAACATAAATCAAAAATCTTATTATCAAGAAAAAAATCCATTATTATTTTTAACTTAAACTTCAAACTAGTTAAGATAGAAAAGTAATTTTTGAAAAGCGATCTCCTTGAATTGCTTTGAAACCGCAGTTCCCGATAGTAAACAACCAAGGCTGTAATAAATCAAAATTAAAGCTTTTGCGTTGCATAGAGAGAATTATTCGCGATACGCGAGAAAAGCGATAACGATACAACATGCAACAGTGATTTAGGAAGTATATGGTTTATTCACTCCAAATAACGTCCGCCTTTCGTATATTTTTACAGTACTGTGTAACAATAACATTAAAATTGTAACACTAAAATCTCCTCGTTTTCATGTCCATAACGTATACTACTTCATATTAAGATTAATTGGACCGTCAATATGGAAGTTTTGTGCCTGTTTACAATTACGTAATTGCCAGTCGATCATTTTCCTGCATTCACTAATCACTGACAATTTATCTTGCATATCCTCGATCAAATCAACTTATGACATCAATTTTCATGAAACTCAAACTAGATGAATTTGCATAAATTATTGTGTTTCTAGCAATTTCACGAGTAATGACTCTAATAATATATTTTATAGAAATACGTACGCATGTACACATATATATATAATTATTAAAATTTTTTTTATTTATTTGCTAGATCTGCTACAAGCTTGCTATCGTGTAAAATTAGAAATATTTTTGCATTAAAATTCATAAAACATTTTAATAAATTTATTATTAAAAGAATGTTTAATATCTAGTTCTGAAACACTTTTTTATCAAATTTATACATAGAATTAAGAATTCTACATTATATTTATTTATAAAAATGATATAAGTATACTTATAAAAATTATATTTAATTATATATTTAAAAATAAATGGTGCGTATACTTTAAAAATAAATGGTGCGTATTAAAAATAATATTTGTACTGTTTCAATAATTAGAAAAATCAGGATAATTTTGTATTATCTATTTCAGTTATCTATTATTAGTGATAATACAAAATCATAGCTGATAATAGCTAATAAAAAAAGATTAAAAATAAAAGATAATAAACATCACTTTTATTAAACGGGAAATATTTTTTATATTCGTTAATATAAGAAAATTATATTTAATATATTTTGTTTTAGAAATTTATTTTTGGTTTTGTTTTACAGAATAGGATAATTACTATTAAACTACAAAAAATATTTAAAATTATTTGGAAATATATACCTATACATAATACATTATTCTTTTATAAAATATTCCGAGTAAAAATAGTTGAAAAATAGTTAAAAAATGATCGACGTGTCAAATCATAAAGAGAGTATAAAATTAGAAATTATTTTATTTACAATTCAGTCTTCGGTCTTTTCTCGAGGTAAGCTTTAATATTGGGCGAAGTGCGAATTTGTTCCACAAGTTTTTTCAACTCTGGATGATCTCTGTTCGGATCCCTTGCCAAAACAAGATTCTGATATTCAAAATACGAAGCCCATAATAAATCTGCCCACGACAGCTAAAACAGAAATAATATATTTTTGTGTTTTTGTAATGACAAAATCAACAAGACCAGAATTAATTTAGAAACAGCTAATTTAGAAACAGCTCGCAATCAAAAATTATTACCTTGCCACCAACAAAGTATCCGCCATTCTTTTTAACTTGAGCCTCGAATTTATCGAGATAGAATGATAACTTTTGGAAGGCGTTTTCCTTAAGTTTCTCCTTAAAGGCAAGGTCTTGTTCCCGATAATAAATATATAAAACTGTAAAAATAAATTTGCCTTAGTCAATACTCAGAGATAAAGAAATTCTTTCGTGCAACGCTGCGAGAAGAACGATAATGATGTAGCACACATGACAATCATTCAAAAAATGTATATCTTATTGAGTTTTAGAACAGTCATTACTATTTTATTTAGTATTTCACAACAACATTAAATCCCTACGATTTGGATTCTCACAAAGTACTTGTTATATTAATCAGTCATATTAAGCCTGTTCTTTTCAACTGAACTTTTTGCACAATTTATCTTTCTTTCTTTTTCTCTCCATGTTGGAGGGAAAAAGAGAAAAGATGAATTATGTAAAAAATTCAACTAAAAAGAACAGACCTATAAACTAATTACATCTTACGTCAGCCCGGAAGAATCGAAAAGTATGTGTCGTTATTTCAATTATATAATCATCAATACACTTCGTGTTATATAATCGTGATTATATAATTGACAAACTATCATCCTTCCGCGTTTATGTGGACCATGGACTTAGGAATAGAGGAATGGAGTTTAAAGTCTTAATTTAGAGAAGAGAGAAATAAAAACTTAGTGAGAAGAATTGTTCTTCGCTATTATTCATTTCGTCCATCTGACATATAGGTATGTCTGACATGTTACTTGTGCTATGCTGGTAACATAATTACTAATAATACAAAGTAAAATGTCCACACATCTAACACTTATCACGTATGCATATATATATATATATATATATATATATATATATATGTCCCATGGTGCGATCTTCGGAACGAATATGGGGGATCCTCCCGTCGTGAACATGCTTTACACCTTTAGCTTATGCTCTATCTAATAATTTCTAAGCCCATATTACTGATGTTCTTACTTTGCATTAAATTGTCGATAGAGTCAACAGTCGCATCGATCTCCATAGCCTCGAATTCATCCAATCCATATAAATTGGTCTTCTTGGCGATGAAGCGGGAAATGGCCTTGGACTGATGGTACGATTTACCGTCAATCTCCAGGATCGGCAATTGTTCCATAAGCATATCTACAATTTGTAAAAATGCTATTAGATTACAGCAAAACAATATTCATGTATATCCATTGGTAGAAATACAATCAAAAATGATCATAGAACATTAAAACTTAAAAACAAATGTGAGAATCGCAAAGTAAATTTTATAATATGAATTGATACTTAAATAAATGATAAAAACAAAAAGACAAATTAGAGCTAAACGCTATAATTAATGGGCAAAATTAATGAATTTTTATTATAATTAATAGAATACAATAAAGTAATAAAAAAGTTTGGATATTTTTGAGCCATTCTCAACGAATATAAACCTTATATAAATGTAGTGAAAATCAACTTATCAAATTCATACAAATAATATATCGTTCACATTTCAATATTTAGATAAAAAGACGATTTAAACTGTAGATGCAGTTTATAATTTCAAAAGCACAGCATATGAGATAACTTACGTGGTTTATATTTCGGCCAATCTGCGAAACTGATTCTAAAATCCTCGAATTCAATGCCGGAATGATAAAACAAGTATCTAATTGGTTCTCCATAGCCGGAAACGTTAAAATATAATAACTTATACATTGATGTGTTCTGAAAATTAAATAAATAGAAATATTAATATATAAATATATACATAGAAATAAAAATTGTAGGAATAAAAAAACTAATTAGTTGACAGGATTCGAAAATAATTATCGTAGGAAGTCGTCGTGCTCATGTAAATTAAATCGCGATTAACAAAAGATCCCGAGTTCGTATTTTAGTTGATTTCGTTAATTTTTTCAAATTTCCTACAATTTGGGAACTCGTCTGAAATGGATAATTCCTTGATAAACTTGAATTTCTCATAAACTTTTGTGCCAAAATTGAATTAAGAAACAAGAATGGAATTGATAAAATGATAATTGCCATTGATTAATTTGCTCTGAGTTGTTGTGAGTGCGAGTATGAGAGATTGAATCCGGAGGAAGGATTTGAATTCGAGAGACATTGAAATGTGACATCACTAAGTAAGTCTAATTAATTGGTAGAATTCGGAAATAGTTATCGTAAGAAAGCATCGTGATCATACTAAATAAGTTACGGTTCGTAATAAAAAATTCCGAGTTTGAATTCCAATCGATTTCTCTAAATTTTCCGAATTTTCTACAAATAATCTTTAACTTATTTTTAAAAAAGTTTACATTAGAAGACATTAATGTCAATAAGCACAAACTTTCATCACGTTTCATGTCACGATGTGACATACAAATAACATTATTCAAAATACTTGCAATGAGTACATTAATATTAAATTTAATTTTTACTTAAATTCTCTTCAAATATTAATATAACGATAAATATCAATTACAAATAAAAAATTATCAAATTTATTTGTAAAACTATCAAGATATATTTTCAACATTTTTGGCATTTGATTATATAATGATTATATAAGTATCTTTTCGATTTCACCGTTTATTTCAAAATAATACTTAAATGGCAAACCTATTTATTTATACACTTGTTTATATTTTAAAAATAGATTAGGAAAAGAAGAAGACTAATTAATCATTACTTTGCAATTGTTAAAATGATTCATTATTGAAATCGAGACACTCACATCTTGTGCAATATTTAACTAACACCGTGATGAGGAATAATCTGGAGCTGAATAAAGCACTACTACAAAAGAAATTTTGTGAATTATACAAAAGAATTTTAAATGTTATTAATATTACAAGATACTGTATTATGAAAGAGCGAATATTATTTAGAGCCAACAAGCTGTGCACTTTCTCAAGTATTGTTCATTGTATCACCATCACTTTTCTCGCGAATATGTCGTGAATAATTCTCTGCCTCTGTACGACACAAAAGCTTCAACTCAGATTTATTATAGTTCTGATTGTTTACTATACCGAGAATAAGACCGAGCTTTCAAAGCAAAGATCAAGGAGATCGCTTTTTGAAAAAATGCTCTTTTATTTTAACCAGTTTGAAATTCAAATTAAGAATACAGATGAATATTTCGTCGATACTGAATAATGGAATTTTTAATAGTCAAGCCACTATATATAATCTTTATATTAATATTAATATTAAAAGAAATGATAACTTTCGCTTTTTATGTTGTATCACATTATACTGCTGATCATGCAAATTTTTGAAAAAAATTACAGGGGAAGGTGTAGAGTTTCAAAAGATCTAGTTACAGATCTTATCAGTTTGATTTTGGGTGGCGTTGTGAAAATTATATAAAGGTCAACTTTGTTTTTTTAAATAAAAACTTCCATTTTTTTATTATATATTTTTATAGCATACCTTGAGAGTTTTCCAAAACAGTACAATAAAATATTTTTTTAGCAAGTACTTTCTGAATTATAAAGCTTGAATTTTATATGAAGTATAAAATGTATCTCGTAAGCTATTCAATTTTGGGCAACTATATCTTAATACTTTTATGCACAGAATAACGAAATGTATCCAGGTCGGAACTTTGTATCACAATATCTCTGCTCGTAGAACACATAGGCAAAAAATAAAAATACTTTTATTAACTAATTCAAATCCAGCTAATATGCTATCCATTGAGTCTCAGAACTTATTAGCTTAACTGTTATTAAAATCCAATAATCTCGTTCACTGATTTATGTATAAGATACATGGGGACTGGTCTCCTGAAGCACTAACGCGTATAGTTGGTGACAAACCTTAATCTGTGTTTCTTGATAAAATATACTCGATCCTCGATCTAAGAATGTAGATGTGTAATCACACACCGAAATGTGATTTTATCGACGATATGAGAAAACGAATACAGTTAGTTCAAAATTCAAAAAATGGATATCCTAGAGGTAGTGTATATGGGTTTCTAACGATTTCATGACAGTGTCGCCAGAAATGGGTCGCTGCCACATAGAAACCGAAATTAAGAATGTGTGAGATGCATACAAAAAAACAAGCCACATATACAATTCTGCAATTTCTATACACATCTGCAATTTCAGTTTTTTATGTAGTAGTGGCATACCTTAGGTAACATTGTCCCACGAAAAAGGCCAGGATCGTTCTTAAATTTCCTTTTAAAAAGGTCAAAATTAATTCTTCTAAGAAAGCATAAAGCTATTTCCAAGCTGTTCCTTTTTCTCTGTTATTTCTGACATTTGTATTGTTATCGAAACAATTTATATGGAAATTTATTGGACTGTGAACTTCGACCCTTTTTTTGTTGGCTAGCCTTCGAATACTCCAGTACATCACATTTAAAGTCGAATAGGAGTGAAATTGAAGTCGCATCAGAACTTTATCAGTTACTTTATCTTGTATATTCTTGATAGAATCAAGGTGGCATAATTCAATATCTTCATATCTCAAACTAGGCGTATTCATATAATTTACCATTCTTATCAATTAAACGACGATTTTGATGATATATTTTATAGAAATACATCCGCATATATATGCATGCATATATATATGTGCATGCATAATATGTATAATTGTTAAAATTTGTTTACTTTGTTAGGCCTGCTACAATCTCACTATTGTGTAAAATTTAGAAATTACAAATATTTTTGCATTATAATTCTTAAAATATTTCAAGGAATCTTTTAATTAAAAAAACAGTCCAGTAATTTTAAAATTCCTATCTATAAAATTTATATATTAAAAATTTTCTATGAATGTATACAAATTATATATAAAATTTAATTACATACATATTTAATTAAAAAAATATATAGTATTAAGAAATAAATAACGCGCTCGTACTGTTTTATAAAAAAATAATTAGAAAAATCAAGGGAATTTCATGCTATCTATACACATTTGAATTATCTGTTATCCATATAATATAAAATAAATAATATAAATAATAATAATATAAAATAATAATATAAATAATAATATAAAATCGTAATTAAAAAAAGATAAAAGGAGATTGAAAATAAAAGACGACAAACATCACATTTATTAAACGGGAAATATTTAATTTCTTTATACTGTTATATAATACAATATGTATACATATATATTATTATAAGTAATAATATATATGTGTGTGTGTGTGTGTGTGTGTGTGTGTGTGTGTGTGTGTGTGTGTGTGTGTGTGTGTGTGTATAAACATGTATTATTAAACTACAGAGAAGCTGTTTGAAGTTATTTAGAAATACATTGTTTACATATAACATATTGTTTATATATTATATTTTTTTACAAAATATTTCGAACAATAGCAGCAAAAAGTTATATGTCAATGCGTATTAAATCGTAGAAAGAGTATAAGTATAAGTATAAGTATTAAAAATCGTTTTATTTACAATTGAGTTTTTGGTCTCTTCTCAATATAAGCTTTAATGTTGGGCAAAGCGCGAACTTTTTCCACAAGTTTCTTCAATTCTGGATGATCTTTATTCAGATCATTCACAATAAAGTTCAGATAATCAGTATATGCAGTCCATAACAAGTCTGCCCATGACAACTGAAACAAGAAAAATGTATCCTTGTTTTTATCTAATAAAATTAACAAGACGTTAATTAAAAATAATTTAAGACACAATCAAGAATTATTACCTTGCCACCAACAAAGTATCCACCGTTCTTTTTAACTTGAGCCTCGAATTTATCGAGATAGAACGGCAATTTTTGAAAGGCGGTCTCTTTGAGTTTCGCTTTGAGGGCGGTGTCTTGTTCCCAATAATAAGTAGATAAAGCTGCAAAAATAAATTTGTTTTACGGTTTTTGCATCACTCAGAGATAAAGGGATTCTTTCGTAAAATTCTGCGAGAGGAAACGATAATGATACAGCGGGCATGACAATCATTCGGAAAATGTATGCCTTGTTGAATCTCAGATAATCTACTATCTATTACTATTTTATTCGTGATAGAATACCTCGTAACAATAACATTAACTCCCTATTCAATTTGCACAAAGTAGTTGCGTCATATTGACTAATCAGATCTCCCCGGGAAAATCGAGACGTACGTGTTGTGCTCGCATTTGTGTTGGTGATTATGTAATGGACGATCTATCTTCCTCCCGCGTTCATCACCAGCGTTCTTACCTTGTCTTAAATCGTCGATAGAATCAACAGCGGCGTCGATCTCCATGGCTTCGAATTCATCTGATCCATATAAATTGCTCTTCTTGGCGAGGAAACGAGAGATGGCCTTGGACTGATGGTATGGTTTACCGTCAATCTCCAGGACCGGTACTTGTCCCATAGGCATGTCTACAATTTGTAAAAGTACCATTAGATTATAACGAAATACATATTCATGTATCTGTTGATAAAAATACAATCAAATAATCATGGAGCATCACTTGATTACCAATGTGAGCATCACGAATAAATAAATTTTATAATACGAATTAACATTTAGACAAATAATAGAAAACTAGAGTTAAACGCTGTGCATAAAATTAACAAATGTAATATTATATTATAATTAATATAATATAATGAAAAGTCCAAATATTTGGACTTTTATAAATTTAATATTTATTTTTAAGCCATTTTCAACAGTGATAAAGAGATTTGTCAAATTCCGGTGATAAAAATTAACTTATCAAAAACTTATCAAAAACTTATCTTACAAAAGAAATATATATAAACTTGAATGTATTCATATTTCTTGGATATTTCGATATTTAGATAAAAAGACAATTTAAAATGTAGACGCGATTATTTTGTAATTTTAACATAACAGTATATGACATAACATACTTGATTTATATTTCGGCCAATCTTCAAAAGTGAGCCTGACATCCTCAAATTTAATGCCGCATTGACTTAACAAGTATCTAATCGGCTCTCCAAGGCCGGTAACGTTAAAATACGTTAACTTGTACGTCGGCATGTTCTGAAAATTATGTAAATAGAAATATTAATATATAAATAATGCTTAACTTATTTTTACACATTAAGGCCGATAAGCACAAACATGCAATGTGAAATATGAATTGTATTATTCAAAATGCACTAAATATATTGACATTCAATTTTTATTTAGATTCTCTTGAAACAAAGAAATTAAGACAACGATGAATATCAATCACAAATAAAATCAATATAAAATTTATTTGTAGGAGTGGACGAGTATCACGACACGCTTTCAGCATTTCTGACATTTGATTATATAATTCGATTATATACTTTAATATCCTTCCGACAATCACGTTTATTATAAAATAATACTCTCAAAAATGTTAAATGATCGTAAATCTAATTGTTTATAAACTTGCTTATACTCTAAAAATATGTTAAATAAAAAAATAAAAAGATACAATTACTCGTTACCTTGCAGTTTGTATAATATGACTTATGATAAAAATCGAGACGCTGGCAGTCGATGTGAAGCTGTTTGCGAACTGAGAACGACTGAATGTTCTGTTGTAACGACACTCCGTATCATTTTGCCTGGGGACATATGTCCTTTTGCTAGAAAGTATCATGGAAGAATACCGGATTTATACAAGCACAACACATACACACACACACACACACACACGCGCGCGCGCGCGATAATTATCCGATATACCTGACACACGCACAGAGTTTGCGTGTAATGGGAAATGTATGGCTCTTATGTTCTCATGAAATCTAGATGCCAGTCATGAAATAGTGATACATAAAATAGAGAATCTATTATTGCAATAATAAACAGAACCTTTCTCACATATAACACCTTGTTATCTTCTTACGTCAAATATATAAATGTTATTGGAATTTTTTCGGTCGTTTTTAATTTTTTATTTGACAACTAAAGATGGCTAAAAATTTTATCATTAACCAATATCACTATAATTTCTCAAAAAGAAATACGATAAAAACGATTTTGCATTATTCATAACATTCTGCTTTAGTGGATATTTTAAGACATAAAAAACAATAAAAGACATAAATTGACATAAGTCTGATTTCATCATTTCATTTGTCCTTGTTTAGTATTCGGTAAAGAACAAAACAAGAGATAATACAATTATATAATACATTTATATTGACTCGTGTTGGTATCAAAAAGTACACAGTATTGATAAAACATATTGATAAATTATATTATATTTGTCAAAAATAGATTCTACAAACATCTGCTACAAATTTTATCAACAAAAAGACAACTAATTCGATACATGATTTGACATATTCGATATTGTTAATAGAATAATAATCAATAAATGTTTATAACAAAATATAATGGCAGATTGGCAAAAGTCAATTTGTTGAATGCAGGTTCTATATGATTTCCGACAATCCGATCATATTATGTCAGCAGAATGTATCGCTTAATGATACCGGATCGATTGCAACATTTTGAGCAAGTTTGCTACTAATCGGTTGGCATATGCAAACAGTTTGTTTACTAGAATATTATCTACATAAAAACAACTAGCATTAACATTAAATTACGATAAATTACGATAATATTTACAACGTTTCTACAAATAGATAAGCTTTCTAAAATATTTAGAAACATGATAATAAATCTAAATATAATCTAAATGATAGTAAAATGTGATCAGATACGCGATATTTGTCAGTATCACTTTAAATATAATTTTTCAATGCAATTTGTTTATCATATGTTTTCTTTAAAAATACGTGTCATATTTGCATGTATTGTATTATCATTGTTGATAACTTGTATGCTTTTATAGTGACTTATCTGCAATGTATAATGTACACATTATTACGCAAACTGTTTCACAATCCTTCCGTGGACTATTAATAGATGACTTGTTACTTTTCAATGACTCATAAGTTTAATAAAAAAAATAGAAGAAAAACATAATAAATAATGATAAAAGTTGCAAGGTCAAGTAAGCATTAAATATATCAAAATATCGATAGAAAAATCACATCATCGCACGTACATATACGATATACAAACATAAAATAAAATTATAAAATTATAAAATTTATTATATATACATTAAATAATCTTAAAGGATATAAATTAAGTACATATATATAACGTTATATATTGAAAAGAAATTAAATAAGATAATTAAAAAGAGATAATGCGAAAAATAACTCATTAGTTTAACTTTTTTCTTAAATTTGAATTATTATCAAGCTTTTTTCTGTATCTTTTGATTAATTAAAGATTTCTTAATCTCGCTTTATTAATAAAATGTTTAATCAGGTATATTTTCTAAATATTATCTCTCTTTATATAAAATATAAATATAACAAATTTTTAAATGATGTATTTACAAAGACCGCATATAAAACTTTGAAAAAAGTCAATGAATATTTTTTCTAAATATTCTAAATATCACAAAAATATTGTTGCAAAAAGTATAAATCAATATTAATAACTTGTCGAAATTTTTTGGTCTGTAAGGGCCAATGTATCTAAGCATCACTATTGCGACATAATATGGAAAACTCTTGTATTTCCTATGTTACTCAGTGAATAATCATAAGTTCCCCTCAATTATGACTAACTTGTGTGACCTTCGCTTGCATTATAGCTACATGTACGATAATATAGCAGCCTAGCAACCATAAAAGCCACGTCACGATGACATAAAGAAGTATCTTTAATACTAGCTGTGTATAAAAGCAGATAATGCGTTATCTACGTTTTGCAATTGACAAATTAATTACTCAGCACTTATTTTATTTACCGTATACGCCTCTTCTATCAATAGCACTTTAGAAACAGATATCTGTTTGTGAATTTAAGTATTTGACTCCATACGGCTCTTACTTTAATTCCCTGATTATGCCGCTTATCATTGCTATTGATTTCCATCGTGAGAACCTTTCTAAGAATTCTTCATGAGGACTTTTCTAAGAAGTTAACATTATAACCAAAACTATATTTCAATTTATATATTTCAATTTATTTATTTCAGAATCATTATTTTTATAAAAAAATCATAATGCAAAAAATATTAACATGATGAAAACAGCAATATAAATGGGTTGTAACAAAATGGAAAGAATATGTATTGCTAATATAAAAGAAACAAAAAAATAACAATAGTAACACTTTATTAAAATATAAAATAGTAAAGAATATAATTCATTTTCAAAAGTTTTATCAGAAATAATCTCAAGCAATAGTTTTATTATTGTTATACAATAACAGAATCACTAACACTAAACAATTATTAAAATATGCATTTATATCTTTATATGTATGTAATTCTTATACGTAATTCTTAAATCTATCTACATATTGTACACAGATATGTACAGATATGTGCACATATGGAAGCAAGAAAAATTGATTTTTTAGTCAATCATAAGCAGTCAGTTCATTATTTTGCAAAATTATCCAAATTAATTAAACAAATATTGATTTTGGACGCTTCTCAATCCAACTCTTGATGGCGGGTATTTCCTCGACCTTCTTTTTGAGCTGCTTTAGATTTTCATATTTCTCAATGATGTTCTCCTTCATCATCCAGTCCAAGTAATCCAACATGCTGACAAAAGTGAAATCGGCCCAAGACAAAGAACCGCCAACAAAATAACCATCGTTCTTCTTTACTTGAGCATCCAGACGTTCTAAGTAGTACGATACCATCTCCTTAGCAATTTTGAGTTTCTCTTTTTTAGCCTGTTCATTGCTCTCGTAATAATAAGCTGCAATACCTAACCAAAGCAAAAAAAAAGAGAGATAAATAGAGACAAACAATTCGAATTTCAATAAGTCAAATTTGAACATAGAAACAAAACAATTTCTTCTTCTTTATACTTTCATCATTTGCAAAGAAATTTACTCGTTCTATCAAAATTTAGACACATCATGAGTTAAATCTGTTTTTTTTTTCAAAAGGAAATCTCTATCTCCAGTAAACGAAAAGAATTGAATAAAGATTAAATAAACAAGATATCTACTAACTGGCGCGTAAATCATGTATGTTGTCGACGGCCGCGTCAATTTCCAGAGATTCCCAGTCATTTTTGCCGGCAAGATCACATTGCTTCGCCAAATAGCGACATATAGCTACGGACTGATTGATCTTTTTTCCATCTACTTCGAGCACGGGTACTTGGCCGAATGGCATAGCTAGAAATTAAAATATTATATTAATGCACATAAGTGCATTATATCGTAAAAATTAAATAAGATTTATAATAAAGAAAATCATCTAAATTTCTGTCAATAAACTTTTATCTATTATCTATATTAAGAATCTTGATTATTAACTATATACAATTAAAATTAATAATAATTAAGTTTTTAAGTCGTAAAGCCTAACTTTTATTTCTTTATATCTTTTTTTTGTTGTAAAATTTTTTGAGACTTTATTACTACTTGTATATTATATTGTTGTATGATGCTGAAGAATTTTTTCTTCTTATATTAACGTTTAACGTTTAACGATTACCTAGCTTAAATAATACAAAAATAACACACTTTTTCATAAAACCGTTTTTATAAAACCATACAACGCAATACAGAGCGCAGTATATTTTTAATCAAGAATTTGAATATTTGAAAACAGCATACCATTATATTTGCAAAACAACATACCAATTGTCCGATTGACCATGAACAATACCGATTATCTCATGCGGATATGCGTATGTCATATTACGTACTGTATATGTAATATGAAATACGCATAATAAGAAATAAAAGGCTTTATTGTCAAAGGAAGTAACATTCATTTCCGCTTATTTATCAATTTACAAAAAATCTCAATGGATAAATATCTCGTTAAAGTTAATATAATTCTTATATTAAAATATTTTATATTTAAGAATAGGTAAATTATAACAAAAAATTAATTGACATTAAAGAAGACAATATAAAAATCATATGTTCGTTGCGCAGATCTGTCACAACTATTTGTAAATCGTATTTCAGAAATGATGAGCTAAATTAAAAAGTTGCGATGAATAAAGACTAATAAGACTAATGAAATTATGTATTATTAATATTCATAAAATATATACTCTGCTTAAGCTTCGGCCAATCTTTCCTGTCAAGACGTTCATCTTCAAACTTAATGCCAGCATAGTTGAACAGGAAGCGAATTGGTTCCGCCAATGCTGTGATGGGAAAATAGATCAACTTGTAAGAAGGCATGTTTCTGAAAAAAAAATACTCTTTATTCCTTATTTCTTCATTTTTGTCTCGTGGAATCATCAACTTGTCTCATTGGAATGATCAACATTAAAATAATTCTACTTGAAATTATTCAGCTTTTAATTCTTTTAAATTTGTCATCAAAATTTTAAACTAATTATTTAAAGCTTTAAATAATTATAAAAAACCATGTATTAAAAATATCATTTATTAAAAATAGAATTGAAGAAAACTTTGTAACGATTTACGACGTATTATCACACAATATATTCATACATTTATATGTCAAGAATTTAGCAATGCAAATATATTGTGTGATAACACGTAATCGCTACAAAGTTTTCTTATATTTTAAGTAAAATACATTATTAAAAAATTGTATAAACATTTCTAAATATGATATGTAGAATTCTTTTGCAACTTTCAGGTTTTGCAACTTTATACCTTCAGTTCCTTACAAAATTATTTTTAAAAATTTCTAAGCTATATAATGTCGCATAATTGTAGAATGTTTATTATACTTAAAATATGTATAATTATAATTATGAAAGTTCTATTTAAAATATATCACGTAAAGAAATCGCGCATATAATTTAGATGATAATTTTCAGATTTGCTCAACATAAAAATTCTTATTTGTCACAATTTATTCACATGAAATATAATTTCAATATTAATGAAAGACGTTCATTATTAACGTTTCTCTTTTCTAAGTCATTCTGGGTTAGTATATATTTCGCTGTAATATGATATTTCAAATTATCACGATTACTTTGCTTCATTTTTCGATCGTTATTATTGTTTCGTCATAATAATGAAACAATTAATTAAATTCTACAATAGCATTTAATTTGCCAATTCTTAATTAGTCAAATGGTGAACATAAAACGTTTTTGCGTGAGATATATATATTCGCACTTATATTACAATATTGTGCAATAATAGAGTACAATATTTAATGTTGAGTTAGTCAAATTTAAATTTTATAAAATAAAGCAATAAAATGATTTAAATTTACTTACAATTTGGCGAATTTTAAGCAGAAGGCAAGAAAGGTGCGTTTATTGCGATTTTACAACAGCCATCAACTGTGCCTGACAACAGAACCAGCTGCACTCCTCTACTTATTTATCTTCCTGCCAGTCCCGACATCCCCACTTTGTAGTTTCAACATACCTCACTTTCATGCAAGAGGAAACTTACTACAAAGATACAGGCGAGGCCTAATCTTTCACAAGATTAAACATAAGAATTAAAAAATTTTATTAAATATCGAAAAAACGTACTTTTTAAATGTGTTTTAAATAATATAAAAATATTTTTCTAGTGTTTCTCTTATCAGTTCTTACATTATCTAAAAATAATCATAAAATGCTCTTATTATAAATAGTAATGTTGTATCTACTATTCATGACATGGAAATATCTAGCAAACATCTCCGCAATCCTATATGCAAAATATCATTTAAAAATACTTATTTTTTTCTGAAATTATCACTAACTTGCTATATATTTCAGATTAATTTAACTTACATTGACAAAAATAGCTTGAAGAATATTGAAGATAAAACAAAATAAGAAATTTATTTTCATTTTTACTTTACAAATTAAATATTTACGATACTTCGTTATTTCTTTTCTCTCGCATTTAAATATAAGTAAATATAGTTCATATTTAATCAAATATATCATAAAATGTCATTAAATATAGACATGACAAATCAAATGGATAAAAGAAGCAGGTTTTGCGAATGTGAAAGAAAATAAAATAATAAAAGTAATGATTTATTGAAATACAAAATTATATCACGAAAACAATATT